ATGACAGAGGCAAACTCCTGTGTTACTTTTTCAATTATTATATTACATTTCACTTATGATCAAATGTTATGAGCATTAATATCTAATAGGAGATTTTAGAATCAGAGTAGCTTGTTCTTTTAATCTCCATGCTCTCACCTTCAATAGCAGGGCTGCATCCAGGATTTACAAGTAGAAGGAAGTCCCCATCTAAAATGATTTAAGGGCATGTGCTCTTCAGCTTCATACTACTTGTGCACGTGGAGGGGATTATTTGGGTCTAAGAGACATCAAACGCCTAATATTATCCTTGCATGAAAATCGTTCAAACCTTAGGAAGACAGTTTGCTCTCATTAGCCTTTACTTTCTCCCTGATGTATAGTTTGGATACTTTGAAGGAGCACTTACATGACTATATGTATCCACTACGTCAGTCGTGGGCAATCTGCGGCCTGTCAGGGTAATCTGCTGGAGGGCCACGAGACAGTTTGTTTACACTGACTATCTGCAGGCACAGCTGCCCGCAGCTCCCAGTGGCCGCGATTTGCCGTTCCCAGCCAATGGGTGCTGCAGGAAGCATCGGCCAGCACGTCCTTGCAGCCTGTGCCACTTCCCACAGCTCCCATTGGCCGGGAATGGCGAACTGCGGCCACTGGGAGCTGCAGGTGGCTGTGCCTGCAGATGGTCAGTGTAAACAAACTGTCTCGCTGTCCACCAGTGGATTACCCTGACAGGCCGTGTGTGGTCCGCGGGCCACAGGTTGCCCACAACTGCACTATGTGCAACGCCAGTGGCTTTCAACCTGGGGTCCACAGACTATGTCTAAGGGATCCACAAAAGGTGACTATGAAAATAAAGTTTCAGATCCCAGAAAAAGTATTTCATTTTTCTGATCAAAATCAGACCCATCTAAAGGTCAAAACCCAGAAGTTTACCATAGAAGTCCACAGTTTAGCACACTTTCTTATGCTGCATCAAATGCCCTGCCGAGCATGTGCAATGTTTATAGTTGAATTCTGTTCAGCTGGTTTTTAGTCTAAGGCTTCTATGGTAGGGACCATGGGCCACAGGTTGAATTTTCAAAGAGGTCCGTACCTCCATTCGAATTTTTGTAGGGGTCCACAAATGAAAAACAGTTGAAAACCACTGTGCTACACTATAACTAGAGTGAAATCATTGGACCTACGCTGGTGGCACACAAAAAGTTAACACTGCACATTTTATATATACAGTCACACCACTCCTCTTCCCTTGATTTCTACTGAACTTTTAAATTCTTGACTCAAACTTGGAAATAATAGTCTGTGAATACGTCCATCCTTTATGACTGTTGATAAAAAAACCATCTGGCATAAATACCTGCAGTGCACATGCGTCTCCACCAGGGGACAGGGCTGTCCAGGGTCTTCAGCAGTAACCACCACACAGGCAGTATGCTTTGTAATTGTAGTCACAAATGAATTCTCCTTAAGGAGGAAAGGATTTGCATGAGTAAAACCTGCAGCTGCCCTACGAGAATTAAAATTCTGTTATAGTTCCAGGTAAACTGCTTCATCATTTACAACTATCAAATGTATTTACTCTGCTATTAATCTCATTAGTCATCCTGTGACACGCACTGACACACACAAAATATATCCATAATGCTTTTGAACCCAAAGAAGCTCTCCTGAATTTCTGTACTAATACAAACATATTATGATTTACAAAATACAGGCTGTATTTGCTAAGCATCAGAGCACCAAATACATTTGGATTACTCCTTTCCTTTTGCTTGGAGTCACATTTAGGGTGTTACATTAGTTATAGTATAACATATTGCAACTTTTATAGCACCGTAAAGTGATTTACAAACACTAATGAATTTAGCCTCATAACACTGCTGCTAGGTAGGCAGCATTATGCCCAGAAGAAGGAACTGCGGCACGACGAGGTTATGGACACATTTTAAAAAGTGATCTGTAACCTGTGATACCTTGACTGTAGGAGTCCAATTTTAGACACCTAGAGTCTGATTTTTCAGAGGAGTTGAAAATGTGCAGCTCCTAATGATCTGGAGTTGTCAGCATTTTGTATTGTGAAAAATCAAATGTTGGGATCTAACATTGGGCACCAAAAACAGGGGCAACCAAAAAGTAAAGGCTGTTTGAGAATTTGTGCCTTTGTTGGCCAAGGTCACAATGAAATGCTGTGCCAGGCCAGGGGAGGGATCCATGCCTCCTGGATCTGTGCTAGTAAAAATAGCTCGAGCCGTTCTGTGATTACTGTCTCTCAATGGCTTCTGGATCAAATGTGCTCACTTTACAAGTAAAAGGATTTTTTTTTTCTGCCAGCCCATTTAGAATAAATGGTACATCCTTGCTGCACAAGCCAACCCTAAGGCTGTCTCCGCATGGGTGAGAGGGATGACTCACAAATAAGGCAAACTGTTATTGCATAAAATTGGAAAAACCCTGGCTTTGTCTTGCAAAAATGAGTCAACTTTACATTCAAAGCCCAGTAAGTCATAATACTTTTTGAAATATGGTAGGAAGGGATTATTTCCCCATTTTTAAACAGTATCTAAAACATGTTAAGAGCATTCAGAAAGGGTTAGTCCATAATCCATATATAGTGCCTGAGTTTCCCCTCACGCTAGTGAAACTCCATTGACTTTACACTAGATGAGGAGTCAGGCCCACAGAATGTCAATACAATTCTTGATGCTAGGTCTTGTTTTGAGAATCCACGTGGCTTATGTGGTATTTGCAGACCGTCATCACTAAACACATTTACATAATGAAAAAGAACACTGTAGTTGGTACAGGACTATTTAAGCAATACAAAAAAGATCTGGGGATGTATAATGGAGCTCTTGTTGTGACAGTCCTGGGCTGATACAAGTCAGCTCAGGTAAGGTATGTATGGAAGGAACAGAGTCTCTCTATGCTGTTCTGTTATCCACAAACTTTGGAACACAGTCAAAAATCTCTACTAGTGTAGACGTTTTTATTTTCTGACACTGCCTCAGTGCTGCTGAGGTTCAGTATCTGACCTGGGGGTAGGCTTTGGCCTTTGGTTGCGCCTCAACTTCTCTCTCTGTAAAATGGGGACATTTACCTACGTCATAGGACTAGAATTCCCTTTTTCCAAAGTGCTTTGAGATTCTTTGCAAGTAAGAACTAGAGAAGTGCTATCAGCATTGTGTTTAGAATCCATTCAAAAAACCAATCACCATAAGGCAGAAATAGCCAAGAGCTGTGGCCCAAGCCTACAACTGGAGATCTGGCAGCACATAAGCCTATGAAGTTGGAAGCAGCAGCTCCTCCTCCTGCAGCCACATCTATGGACCAGTTATGCAGTGGGAGCAGAACTTAGGTTGAGCCTGACACTAATCAGAGGGAAAAAAGAGGCGGCACTGAGCTACTGCAGCATGCAGCCAATGCTCAACAAGGAAGTCAGGGCTCATTTATGCTCCTCTTCCATCCTGCTGTGGGTAGGGGAGTATCTCTGACACTCATATCAGAGCTGAATGGGGCAAGAAGAAAGTGACAGGGACCCACTGGGGCATTCCCAAAGCACCATCCATCCTATACACTGAATATATCTAGGGTCCTGTGGCAATAATACTGTGTGATCATGTAATTAAAGATGGTTTCATTATGCATATACATAAGGGGACTGAATTAAGATTACACAGGAAGGGGCTGCTCTGGCACCAGGCACAGAGGACAGGGAGACTGGCTCTCGTGTGTTCTTAATGGCCCCTGTTCTGACATCTAAGCATCATCGAAGAGGAGGAGGAGAAAGCAGTCACATTGAGGAAAGGTGCAAATACAGGGAAAGTCCTACTCAGTATAGCAAAAGGCACATCCATTACACCAGTGTAACCTCCTTGTCGAAGTTCAAATCCCTGCTCCAAAGCAAGGAGGTCCCAGAGGTTCTCAGCAGAAGAGCTATGAGATTTTTTTTATTAACATGAGCAAAAAAGTGTTATTTTTTTCTCTAATCGCTTTCTCAGAAAGGGCTGAAGGGTTTTACTTGAAGCTTTCCAAAACAAATTGAAGCAAACAGCCGACATGGAAAATTAAAGACCAAATAGTTTATGTTTGGCAAAGTTCAAAGCAACTGACTAATAATGAGAAGTGTTGGGCAACCTCAACTATAAGCATCAATACCAGCTCCACCTATAACTTCTATGGCCAATTTGCAAATGTGAATCTCACCAGACACCGGGTTCGTTTTATAGTAAACTGGAACCTTGGATCTTACAGGAGAATTACACTGACACAGCTCCATCTTCCATAGTAAGCTGTGACCATTGGGATCCACTAGAAGTGCAAACTTACATGAAATCACAAGTGGCTCAAATTTATTACTGCTGCACATTTCCAAGTAATGAGAAGACAGGGAGCAGTTCACTGTCAAAACATCTTGTTTTTTTGAAAGTTTAGATTAAAAAGGACACCAACTATACCTCCCACTTCTGTGAAAGTGTTGTACTTGCTGTAATTCGTAACGTCTAAAACACTACTATACATGCACACACATACATATTTGTCTTATTCCCAGTTTTTTCACTCTGAATTTGCCTGCATTGTGTATATTCATGTTTCTCTGTTTCCCCTGCACAGTCAGTTTCACCTAGCATTTTATGCTTTCACACAACTACAAAAAGGGAGAAAAACACTTAAAAAATAAGGAAACATTTGCAGAGACTCAGAGAAGATATAGTACCTGAAACTTCTTAATTCTTTTTTGGGGATTTTGACTAGATTTCTATTTGATGATGGCCCTTTTCTTTTTTAAAAAATTGATTTTATGGATATTATCGTTAATTTGATAAAAAAATCCCTCTATTTTGGCTGCTGTACAAAGCTTTTAAAGGTGGAAACAACAAAAATGAAGAAACCAGGAAGAAATACATCATTCTGCAGCAAACCCAGCTTCTTGCTACAAACTGTTTCCTTTTTTGCAAACCTAATTAAATGTATTCTTCCCACACATCTCTGTTTCTTGGGTAATATACTTCACATTACAATAACACAGGACACGTTTTTATTGTAGGATACGGTGTAACAAATTAATTAAAAATGAACAGAAGAACATAAGTCAGGCCAGAGAAATTCACTGTCCCTTCAATGTATTTTCTAGGATGGATCATAGGTTAGTTTCCCTAATAACTAAGAATGGAAAAATATATGATAAAAAACATAGAAAGCAAACAATTTAACAAGAGCGAACGGATTAGTGCTACTGAAGGGAAAAAAGCAATTACCTTGAGAAGAAACAGTTTAAAGTAACGTCTGAACTTGCAGACATTTTAAACACACTAAGCAGAAGGCACATTTCATTTTAAAGGTAAATTTACATTAGAAGGTAAAAAAAGTTAAGCCTAGCCAACCTTTTCCAACAGCAGCATAGTATGTAGTCAAACAACTGTACCTCAATTTATCTGAACTTTCAATGGAAAGATCTGTTTTTTAATTCTTTAAACCAGCTTTGTTAAAGGAGACATTCAAGTTATAAATAAGAAAGTCTCTTTTATATACACCCCTCAGACTATGTCGCTTTCCTCCTGAAAATCAGTTTTTTGTCAAATTTTGCTGAGCTTCGTCACGATCAGTACCCTCACAGTCTGGTCAAAAGCACTGCAGACACACAGACCCTTTTTGTCAGGGCTCCAATCAAGGCTAGAAATGGGCTGCGTTGACAAAGTCACATTCTGTAAGAGACTGACTGAACCTGCAACCCCCATCTCAACTCCTTCAGAATCCTTCTTTGAGCGCTGAGCAGGGTACTCACTGCCAATAAGAAATAAAACAAAACCAAACAAGCATGGTTTTAGAATATGTACCATAGACAAACACTACAAGAAATACCCACCCACAAACACACATTTGTTTGTTTTTCACAAGTCCAATTAGAAGGTGTCTCAGGTTTCCTAGAGACACTGAAAAGATCTGTGCTAAATATACTGAATCATAGTTAATCCAGCTAAGTCAATTTAAGAGAATAAGGGATAAAATGCTACATGATGAAATTCATCCCAGTTCAGGGAATCCATACAAGGCCATCAGCAGCATTTGAACCCTGCATTCAGGAACAAATTCATACCCCAACATCCAAGCCAGGCATCTCTCACTTCCAGGCTATGGAGCCACTCCATCTGAAGTAGGCTCCATTGGTGCTTACAAAGTCCACACACAGGAGTAAGAGAGGGTGGCCAGGGGATGAAGCTGAAGGATCCATTGGCTCTGCCCACTTCTTGTTAGCATGTGAAGTGTTACCACAGAGCAGTGCTCTATGCCATGTAGGGAATATACACCCGAAGTACAGTCCTCTGTATCCAGCTTATTCTGCACAGAAGAACTGACTAGGGATCCTCAACGAACTCCCCTTGACTCTCAGGATTAGATCCTAAATGTGAAAAGCAGCATTGTCTAGTGAACTGAGCGTGAAGCAGTGAGACAGGAGCACCCAAATTCTAACATACCCTTTGTTACTTGCTTGCTGTTTAGTTTTTACCCTTGGGCAAGTGACTTAACTTTTGTGCCTCAACTTTCTATATATAACTGTAAGGATAATAGTATCAGCAGGGTAGCCGTGTTAGTCTGGATCTGTAAAAGCGGCAAAGAGTCCCGTAGCACCTTATAGACTAACAGACGTATTGGAGCATACCCATGAAAGCTTATACTCCAGTACGTCTGTTAGTCTACAAGGTGCCACAGGACTCTTTGCAGCTTGTAAGGATAATATTAACCTACCTCATGGACTGGCTATGATGACTAACTTATGTTTGCTCAGAGCTTCTAATACGTAAAATGCTAAGTGCTATTAAATAATTTAAGTCCAAAGCCTTTTTATACACTTCTCAGCAATACCTGCCACAACGAGAACTTTAAGAAATCTATTATTCAATTTAACATCTCATGAACTGACAATATAATTTAGATCTTGATTATATTAGGTTAAAGATCAAGGGCCAAATTCATCCTTGCTGTAAACCCACAATGCCAATCAAGTTACAGTAGGGACTTTTTCAGTCTCTATTATGAAGTCCTGCCATGGTGTGAGAAACTACCTATTGTCTGTAATTTAATGAATTTAAATACATCTTTGGTTTGAACATGGGCCCCATACACATCTTCCAGGAAGACTTTTTACAACACATGGTAGTTTTGTTATTTTTTCACCTAATTTAGAGTGGATAGTGAACACTTACTATTTCCAGAGATGAAGGCTCCCAGCTCCTCCACTAGTCATAAAGATATCCCTGTTCTGTGGCAGGTGCCGAACTTGCCACATGGTGGATTTGTGAGCCTAATAAATACCAGAGTTAGACAAAAATTAGTTACAGATTAGTCTCGTAAGTAAGGACTTAAGCCCTGATAAATATATCTGAGTGATTACAGTAACTTTAAGCATATTAGTAGTTTTCAAGGGAGTATTCACCTTCAGTAGGACTAGTAAGGTAAGTAAAGTTAAACATGTGCATACGTGCTTGCAAGGCCATAATCAGGAACAAGAATCATGTAACTACTGGATTTCCATACTCAGATATGAAGTAGTCACTATAAAGATAATTATTAATGCTAGCCTATGACTCTTTTCAACAATTACCAGAATTTGCTATCGAACATATTACAAAAGCCATGAAAAAATGAGTAAATATAAAATTCAAATCTAAATCATGTAAGCAGGGCATGTAGAAAGAATCAGAACAAACCAAAAAAGGCTTCAGACAATTATAGATCTCTGCTAGTAAGCAAGTTTCTACATATGTCCCAAAAGGAACGGTTTAACACAAATTATGATAGGATTTTCATTTTAATGTTTTGATTGCCATGAACACAAACTAAATTAATATTTTAAGTGTTAAATGGTGAAACTAGTACTCTCATTAATACGTTTAATCTATTACAAGTTTTGATGATGTCAAAAAAAAGCAAATTAAATATATTGACATTGACCTATTACTTATTTAAACAGCCACATTAGTAATTTTATTGTTGAAATGCCTGGCTCTTGCCAGTGAATTTTACTCATCGTCAGACTGCTACTCATACAGGACCTGCACCAAACAACATGGTGGGTAAGAGACATTGGGAGAAGTGGGGAGAGGTCACTAGGGCAAAGATTCTCCATCTTTTGCATTCTGTAGACACCTGTATAGAAAATCTTCTCTCTGGACCTACCTCCACTCCCTGTATCCCCAGTCAAAAAGTGCTTGATTATCTGTGGGCCCTTGGCGGTTCCCAGAATGAAGCTTTCTGAGAAAAACCATTGCAGTAGACTCAGAAAAACTCAGTTTATCTTCAAAAAGAGCAAGGAGTACTTGTGGCACCTTAGAGACTAATACATTTATTTGAGCATAAGCTTTTGTGCGCTAAAACCCACTTCACTGGATGCATGCAGTGGAAAATACAGTAGGAAGATATATCTATACACACACACACACACACACACACAGAGAACATGAAAAAATGGGTGTTGCCATACACACTATAATGAGAGTGATCAATTAAGATGAGCTATTATCAGCAGGAGAAAAATATCTTTTATAGTGATAATCAGGATGGCCCATTTCCAACAGTTGACAAGAAGATGAGAGTAACAGTAAGGGGGGATAAATAAGCACGGGGAAATAGTTTTACTTTGTGTAATGACCCATCCACTCCCAGGCTTTATACTTGGGATACAATTAAGATTCAAGTCCCATCATTTTAGATTGCAATCACTTTTACATTACACTTCCAAGGTACACATCTACTTATTAAACCAATAAATAAGAATACTAAAGCACTGGAAAAGACTCTCTGATAGCTAATAAATGGTGTGCTAGGCTAGGTTATCACATTTAGAAAGAACTCAATATTTACATATGTCCCCCTGGCCTACAAGCAGTGGACATCCTCCATATATCTCATTTCTCTGCTTTTACATCCTCCTCAATGTCTCATATTGTGGTGAGCGTCCTTCTGGCCAAGTCCACCCGCAAAAACCCTGGCCTTAAATGGACAAAAAGGAAACTCCTCTGAACGACAACACTCCCTCCTCCTCAGTGAGTAGATCATGAGCAGAAGCTGAGCCAGAGTCTCCCACACAGCAGCATACAGAACAAGCAGCCTGCTCCACTTTCCACATCTTGAAATGATGTATGTTACCTTTCATATGGTTGATTCATGTTTTTTGAAGTTAAGGTTAGATGCTAACAAGCACTCACAAATCCCACTGAAGTCAGTTGGATGATGGGATGCTCATCACATCATATGACTGCCAATGAACATTCAATCTGCCCAGCTTCACACCTCCTACGCAATAACGTTAAGCTTGCAATGTTTCCAGAGCAGCTTTGGAAGAGTAAGTATGAAATTTCTCCCTTAACAAGAACAGCCTTCCCTTATACCGTACCTTCTCTGAAATGGAAGCAAAACCTTTAGTTGGATGCTGAGTTCTCATATCAAAAACATGAAACTTTCCTTCGAGCGATGTGGCCACTAATTTATTCATATTTATATCTTTTCTGTCAAATTCCACACTGCAAACCTAGAAATAAAACACACACATATTCACTCTGAAATTCAGCTTATCACTGAAGAAGCATTTATTTTAGATTTGTAAAATATGGGCCATCATAATCTCTAGCTACATTTACAATGGTAATAAGAATGCAACTGACTTAAGACACAACCAAATTCAACAAGATCATCTAAAAACACCTGAACCTACTCAAACAGCATGTTCTCAAAATACCTGCATAAATTGATAGGACTTGCAGCATACTCTGAAAACAAATAATATAGGACAATAGTTCTCAATCTCTTCCCTACTGTGAACCCAAGTTACAAAATAAATAAGTTTCAGGACCCTGTCCATCTAGCCATAAAGATAAGAATGATCCCCAATCTAAGAACCCATGAACTAGGTTTTGTTGGCCCAATGGAGAAAAAATCCTCTGTAGATTTTATCCTAGTGAGAATCTGAGTAGGTTTCAAATAGATACAGTGATCCTTTAATTCTTCCACATTACAAACAAATTTAAATTAAAACATGCCTTTATGACACATTACCCCGTTCTTAATGTTGGTCTCCCATCGCAATGACATGTTTTTTAGGTCAAATAATTTAATGTCACCATTGTCATAGCCAGCACACACAACACGCTCCTCTTGATTGTAGGCATTGCCTGGAAATAAAGAGACAACTATTTAGATGTATAAAAAATTATCCCCACCACACTGTAAAACAGTCATGAATTAAAGTCTGCAATTTTAACCTGTATTTGTACCAGAAAAAAAAGTCATTGGAACGTTTGTAATTAGCGTGTTAGGTGAAGGATCTGATTTTCAAGTAGTTTTCAAAATAGCTAGTTCTACCCTTTAAAACAAAAGTACCCAACTGATCATCCCCCTGATTCCTGCCTAAATTGCATACACCACCTCATATATGTATGCATCCCCTCCAGAAATGGTTGTGTCTGCTTATCAATATATGTTCCTGGGTCTAATAACCAATTTCTGCATAGCAATTCAAATAGATGTTGGTGCCTGGAAAACTATAGACAATTTCTCTCTGTTCCTATATAATATGATGAATTTTCAGAAAATATTCTAATATATTTAATTCATGCAATTTAAAAATACAATATTCTCTAAACAGTAGATGACGTGCCTGATCCTGATACTCCTATTCACATAAGCAATCCAAAAGCATCCGGCATGTGACTAGATTCTGAACCATACACAGGCTTTGCAGTACACCATGGCACAGAGACAGCTTTAGTAGACCTTCTCTCTGCAGTCTTCAACACATTCCATCATAAGAGCCCTGCTGAGCTGCTTGCAAGACCTAGCTGTAGGGGATGGTGCAATACTATTATAAATCATTTCTCTCTAACAGTACCCAAGAAATAATGACAGAAAGCGGCTCATCTCCAAGAGTCCTCACATATGGAGTTCCACAGAAATCAAAACTGTCTCCCTCAACTTCAGTATCTGTAGAACTCTTGGAAAGGATCTGAGAGATATGGGAGCTGTTGCCAAAAATATATTGATGACACCAAGCTCTGTAAAAACCTTCTCAGCTGACACGATCACCTATGCATCACTGTCTGAAAGAAATTAGCAACAGGGTGACAAGCAGATGGCTCAGATTGCACTCAGGCAAGATTTAAGCAATGCTGAAGGGAAAGGGAAATAATGAGAAGCTAGTGAAGGCTCTGCACATCACTTGTCAAGGTAGTACATAGTCTCTGGGTCTTAGCCCTGGTTTACACTGCAAGCTTTTGTCGATACAAGTACATTACTACGGAGTATGGAAAATCCACATCCCTAAGCGACGCAGTTATACTGACCCAACACCCGGTGCAGACAGCTATATATCGACGGAAGGTCTTCTCTCGTTAACATAGCTGCTAACTCTTGGGGAGGTGGAGTACCTACACCAAACAGAGAAGCTTTCCCATTGGCATAGATAGTGTCTTCACTAAGTGTTACAGAGGCACAGCAGTACTGTACGTGTAGACAAGACCTTAGTGGAGTCATCACTAATTCTGAACACTTAGATAGCAACAGTGATAAGCAATGCCTTCCACTACTTTACCAGAAAAGTACAGCTTTTACTATGGATTTAATGGCAGTAATCCAAGCATTTATCACTAAACTGATCAATTTAACCCACTGAATCTCTAGCTAATGATGGAGGAAACCAAAAATACCAGCTTGTACAGCACACAGAAACGGGTCTCCTTAGCAAGAAAAATGCTGAAAACACAGACGGATACTCTGCTCAGTTCATTAGCTCCCAGTTCAAGTCTCTGTTCTTAATATTTAAGGCAATTAAGTTGGAACTGTGCTACATCAGAGACGGGCTCTCAATCCACGGAGTCAGCTAAATTCTTCCTGGACAATGCAGCTACAAGTACTGCGATTAACCTTTCCAGAGTCAGAGATAAGCTCTTCACTGCAGGAGGCCATTGTCCATGGAACAGACTTATGTCTTTCTGTAAATTAAGTCGAAATCTGATTGCTTTCAGAGTATTTTGCAAGACTTGTCTTTGACAGTTTTGGGAATGCCTTTTTGCAAAAAGGCAATGAATAACAAAGCTACATAGTAAGCAAAAGTTAACTAACAGGAGAGCAGTGAAAAGCAGCATCTACTATGGCGCGATCTCCATACAAAACTTAATTACTGTTTAATTACACGTTATCTATTGAAGTCAACAGGACTATTTGCATGTCTGAAGATTATTCACATCAGGAAAGGCAGAAGGATCAGATTATTTCTGAATGAAAATGCACAACTAAAGGGAAAGATGCACTAAATATCTTCAGGTTTCAGAGTAGCAGCCGTATTAGTCTGTATACACAAAAAGAAAAGGAGTACCTGTGGCACCTTAGAGACTAACAAATTTATCTGAGTATAAGCTTTTGTGAGCTACAGACTAAAACTTAGTCTCTAAGGTGCCACAAGTACTCCTTTTCTTTTTGTAAATATCTTCAGTGTAAATCCCAGTTTATTTCCCCCATACACAGCTGAACACAGAAGAGCCATATGAGAGGAAGGAAATTGCATTAATTGGCCATTTTCCATAACCAACAGGCACTGCAAGAATGGCATGGGTTAAAAAGTACAGAAAGTAGTTTAAGTTGTACATTACCACATTTCTTGACTTAGAAAGTTTAACAGAAATAGTCACGATTTGTTTGTTTTGATTGTCTTGATTATCGCCTCCCTGCTTCCAGTGGCAGACGAGATGGATAGCTGCTTGCAAGTTACAGACTAAAACTGAAAAGCTTATCAATTTACCAAATGCTACTGTCCAGCAGTCTCTCTTGCTCTCGCCTTGTACTGGTTCCATATTAGCAACAGGTGTATCTTTTTGTCTTGGGTCCCACACTTTCACAGTTCCTGTAATAATAATTATACTGAATTTTAGATTACTGATACAGTAGCATATTGTATGCATTCTCCACTCTCCAACTTGCTTTAGGGAAGACATTCCAAACATTTGCATGTCTGATCTCTAACAAAGCTGACTGCATGTATGGAAAGAAAAACAGAGCAGAAACAAGGAAAAGGGTTTGTTTCAATACTTGAAAAGTTCACTGACACACAGCCTATCCAATTTCAACTAAGTAATAGTATGATTCACATTGCTAAACAGAATTGTCTACAGTTTGCTTTAAGTTCTAGCCTTCTTCCTAACCCTATCTTCATTCCATGGAAGTGGTACAGTTTCCACAGCTCATTTGCCATAATTTGTATTTACCTTGTTTCATATTCATTCCTTTCCACCCTCTGTTATGTTGATTTTTTTTTTTGGGCTACAGCCTCTAAATGAAGTGAAAACTTTGTCCCGTCGGACTTAAAATAGAACAAACAGCATATAGATCTCATTGCAATATAATTGCAACCATATCAGATGGCAGCCAGAGGTTCCCACAGTTGAAGAGACCCACCTCCTCATTACAAAATTCACTAGGCTAAGAAAAATAACTGCCAAGGTGTGGTAATGGATTGGAGCAATCAATAACTCTTGCAATCAACAAACCAGTTTTCCCACTGGCACTCAAGTAAACTGCCATCTCCTCCCCACCTCCACATTTAATTGCATTGGTTTTAAAAACCATGATTGTTTCAAAACAAAAAGGTCAGCTGGGCAATTTTCAATATGTCATAGGGCTAACAGCAGCAGTCACAGGAGCCACCCATAGATACAGAAGCTGCCTCCGTTATAGCTATCAGCAGCTGCTTAAAAAAAGTTGCAAATGGCTTTAAAACATTCCACCTTATGCATGAACATAAAAAGGCATGAGAATGTGTAAAATAGGGCATCTATCCCCTTTAAGGGCAGTTGTGACCCTGAGTCAGCCAGCCTTGTTCCAAGGCTTGGCTGCTTTAAGAAGTGGCATTCTGGGACTTATAGGAAGGACAAGCCAAGCTAAAGTCAGTCCTCTGACATGGCTATAGTAGAGGAAACACCTGTGGCTCAGTCACTTAGTAAAGAGAGAGACCCCCTGTAGGAGGCTAAGCTTGCTGGGCAAGGGAACCTCAGTTAGGAGGGTCTGTAAGAAAGGCCAGACAGGAGGCCTTGGATGTAGAGTAACAGTCAAGCAGAGTGTAGGAGGAAGCCCATTCACTGGCCCTGCACCATCAGGGAAAAGAAACTGTTTGAATCTGGGGAGTGCTTGAAAGGACTGTGAAGTCTTGGAGAGTGAGCTAGAAGACTTGCTTTGAGCTGAATTGTTATTTATGTTGATAAATCAGACCCTAGGAGGGGAGAGTTAGTTCAAAAGCATCAGTGATGTGGCACTATGATTGACACGGAAGAAGGTAAATTAAGGCACTGGATGTGCCCAACTGGATAAGCTGCTGCTAACCAATTCCTTCTAGGCCCCACATGAGCTGGCTAAAATGTATTTTATCCTATTAGGCCAGTTTTTAAAGTTTCATTGTAAAGTCAGTGCAGACTGGGCTCAAACTCCAATCAAATCTTGTAAATAGTATTTTCTTGGCAAAGATTAAAGGAACTTTAAGGCTTGCTAACTCACCATCTCGGCTCCCGGTCACAATTTCTGGTGCTCCTTCTCCAATCCCTAAGCCACCTACGCCATCTATACTATTTATGATTTCTTTATGGCCCTTCACAGAGTACACTGGAATCTCTGGAGTTTCCAGGTTCCTAGACAACAGAAAAGAACAGACAGTATATAGTATACATGTTCCATGGTGCTCTACTTTACTGTACAAAAGGGAGAGAACGCTGTATCCGAATGCAGGCTACAAATGCAACATGATGGCTCAGACTTGCGCTGAGAACAACACAGCAAAGTTACAACCATAAGGCTTTCTTCTAGAAAGGTCTAAAATGGAAAAGGGTGAAACTGTTTCCCCACTCGTGTATGATTTCATCTACTTTTGAGGCTGTTCAGAATTGCTCTATTAACTCCAAAAAAATGTGTGGATCTCGAATATTCATCTGACTATTCACTCTTACCATGCAAATGAATCTGCCCTGGCAGCTATGTGCCTTAACTAGTCAATCATTTAAAATCAGCTAGTCTCAGTCAGTATTGCACAAATCACTGGTCAGAATGAGCAAGAAAAATAATTTCCCTGAATTAGGGATCAGAATGCAACTAAAGCTGGTTAAGTTCTGTGAAGTAGAAATTTCATTGAGAGAATGCTACATCTAGGTACTGAATGTCATTTATGAAAAAGCATGTTGAAGCTGAGCAGCTGGAAGCTTACAACAAAACAGGTTAAAGGGAACAGTGCATACAGATCTCGATCTACCCACAAACACGAAGAGCCAGGTAATACTATTGAGAATATCTGCTTTACTGTTCAATTCATTTTTCTACGTTAAACTCCTCAATGTCCTACAAGTTGCATGACATCATACTACCCAAATTTATATTTGGTATACAAATTTTAGAATAGTATTTTAGTCTAGGACAACTCCAAAAAATCAGAATCCTCACATTACAAACTTTTAATATTGTTTATTAGGATGGACTCAGGGTCAAAATGTTGTATCTAACTGTATTTTCAGTGAGGATTTAAGATGACCCTTTGGATCCATTTTAACCAATTCTCTGCCTGAAGATCTTCATCTTTAAAGGAAAATCCATCATTTCTGCTTTAATACTGGTCTTCTATTTGGAATCCTCCCAGGTTCTTACTTTTCTTCTAATTTTCCAATTCTGCTTTGTCTCTCCTCAATTCCTTGTCATTTAAAGAGCAACCATACAAACTAACAGTCACCCTCTATCAATACCATTCTTAATATTCCAGTGAAATGGAACCTTTCACTAGTCTCTTGGTGGAATGCTAATAAATTGTATCAGATAATTAAAATCTATTTTGAAAGTCTGTAAAGGTTTCCTTTTATATTTTCAAAAAATTTACCGACTTGTATTAATCTGAACATGTTCTCTGAATCCGGCTGTTGGTAACAACAGCCAAAGCATTAAGAAAAACGTGTTCATAATCTGAACTGTAAATTGAATGTTGAAAATAAACCTCATTTTAGAAACTGCCAGAACACATATGGCTGTTATTTTTTACCCAAAAGCCTCTTTTCCACATGAGGAACCTTTAGGAATAGGAACAGCTTTCTGCTACCTGGAGCTAGAATATTTAAATGAATCAACAATATGTTGTTTTGTCTTAATTTTGTTCAATAGTTTTACTTAGGATGTGAATTCTTCAGGAAGAGACTGTCTCTGTTTGAGTGTGTATGCAGTGCTTACCACTCAAGGGAATCTGATCCATGACTGGGGTCCCTAGGCACAACTATAATACAGATAAACACACAAAAACAGGGCAAATACAATAGGCCTGAAATGTGAGTTCAAGTATATCATGTACAGTAAGGGGTATCCTGAGAGGAGCTAGTATTCTTACCATATATTAAGGTTTCCACCAAAGTCCCCAGTAGCTAGATATCTCTGCTGTAGAGATGTAGCACCAAAAGTTCCACATTTAATAGGTTTGGCCTTTTCAATCTAAAAAGGGTAAAATTTTTGTTAGCATATCAAAAAATCCCAAAAAAACCACACAATGGATAAGCAGCTGCTTGAAAGCCACACTACTAGCAGGCTTCAGTGAACTTTCAATAAGATATTCAGTATGAAATGCAAACAAAATATTCTGTGGCAAAGGTATACCACATTTTAGCTTATTCTATGATTTTAAAATTTCATATCACTACATAATGTCGATTTGATTGATTAAGAAAATAATCATTCATTCTCCTTCCCTCTACCCGTCTCACTAATAATACTCAAAGCCTGTTGTCGCTACTGATTTGCAAATATAAAGCGGAGGAAATTTTAGCTCTTCTTAGAGATCTGCTAGCATGAACATAAGAGATAATTAAGCCATTCTTTCTATTAGTCTGGAGCAACACTGTTTGTGTGCCTTATATGTTGCATCCCTACAGAACCCTATAACTTGAGAAAGTTTATGTACTATTATCCCTGTAGATCTTAAACTCTCTTTATACAACTGAAAAGGAGGACTTGTGGCACCTTAGAGACTAACCAATTTATTTGAGCATGAGCTTTCATGAGCTACAGCTCACTTCATCGGATCTGTAGCTCACGAAAGCTCATGCTCAAATAAATTGGTTAGTCTATAAGGTGCCACAAGTACTCCTTTTCTTTTTGCGAATACAGACTAACACGGCTGTTCCTCTGAAACCTGTCTTTATACAACTGAGGCACTATTGTTACTGCAGATTAGTAAATCCTCAAAGGTTACTTCAATTTAAAAAACAACTGCTCTACGTAAGCAGTCTGTGCACCTAAAAAGCCATCATGGTGCCTAAAATTGATGAAACCTTGTATAACTAGTGTCAACAACGTTGTATACATTCTTTACACATGTAGCTACTAACTGAATACCTACAAGCACTCAATGCGGAGAGGACTCATGAAAATCTTTAGTTATATGGCCAAACGCTGGACCTTAAGAAGGAGAATTTTGGCATTCATTTAAAACAAACAGTAAGTTTTGAGAATTTTACTTGAAAAGATATCATTTTCAAGACTAACTAATAAACAGATGCAAAAAGATTATTAAAGCTCAATGGAACATCAAAAATCATGAATTAGACTCCCAAAAAGATGAGATTTAAAAAATAAAACTGAAGTTCTTTTTATTTGCCCTCTGGGTTTTAAGCACTCAGGGTCACATTCTCAAACTTTTCTTCACAGCCAAGAGAGCTAGGAACTATTTTGGTTTTAAATTGAAGATGAGATTCCCACAATCACATGAATCCAGAAGCTGGAGCTTTAAACCCTCCCAACGTGAGACCTGGCAACAGTGTAACTAGGCTACACCTCTACAACAGGAGGCTGTTGAAACCTAACGATGTCCAGCCACCACAATCCCTTTTAAAAAGGAGCAGATAAATTTGGGTGTGTCCCAGTAACAGCCAGGATAAGGGTTTTGGGGATATGTGCATAATTGTGAGATAGTAATGGACAGAAATTGATTTAGAGGAGAGGTAGCATTTCCCCCTCACCCGCACAACTGATGAACAGAAAAGAAACCAGGTAGAGGATCCAGCTAGAGGAACCTCAGCTAGTTAGTGAGAAGCATTTAAGGTCAAGGAGTACTAGGCTGGAGGATGCATATTATAGTCTGGGGATAAGGGAGGAGTATTTTGAGAGCACATCCTGCTCTAAAATTCAAATAAAGTACTGTCTGATTTGTAAAAACTCGATTAGGAACAGTAAACTGGATAACACATTCATATATACATACAGCAGAAAAAGCTACCTGAGCTGATTTTAGGAAACAAATTAGTAGCCAGCATTATTGCAAGGTGCCTGCTAAAATCCCTGAGACCCCCAACTGAAGCAAGAAAGTACTACTCTAATTACAACAACAACAAAAATATTTAGCTTCAAATCATGAAAAAAATGTTACAGACAGAAGGTTTTTGCCATCCTGAGTTGAACAGTAAGAAGTCAGACTAAACTTTTTAAAAGATAAGGAGAAAAATTTAAATGTTCCTTTCACATTTCTAATGTATTACTTTCAATGGGGGAGGGGAGAAAAGAACTCTAGACAACACAGCTAGGATCTTTAAATTTTAAACCTATTTTAAAACAGCCTTAGTAGAACCACTCCTTCACCCTCTCTTCACATCCTCCCACAATGCATGCAGCATATAGCTTTCAGAGTAACAGCCATGTTAGTCTGTATTCGCAAAAAGAAAAGGAGTACTTGTGACACCTTAGAGATTAACCAATTTATTTGAGCATAAGCTTTCATGAGCTACAGCTCACTTCATCGGATGCATACTGTGGAAAGTGTAGAAGATCTTTTTATACACACAAAGCATGAAAAAATACCTCCCCCCACCTCACTCTCCTGCTGGTAATAGCTTATCTAAAGTGATCACTCTCCTTACAATGTGTATGATAATCAAGGTGGGCCATTTCCAGCACAAATCCAGGGTTTAACAAGAACGTCTGGGGGGGGCGGGGGGTGTAGGAAAAAACAAGGGGAAATAGGTTACCTCAGGCCCTACGCTACCAGCACTCCCAGCTACCTTCGAGACACCACTGACTTCCTGAGGAAAGTACAATCCATCGGTGGTCTTCCTGATAACACCATCCTGGCCACTATGGATGTAGAAGCCCTCTACACCAACATTCCACACAAAGATGGACTACAAGCCGTCAAGAACACTATCCCCGATAATGTCACGGCTAACCTGGTGGCTGAACTTTCTGACTTTGTCCTCACCCATAACTATTTCACATTTGGGGACAATGTATACCTTCAAATCAGCGGCACTGCTATGGGTACCCGCATGGCCCCACAGTATGCCAACATTTTTATGGCTGACTTAGAACAATGTTTCCTCAGCTCTCATCCCCTAACGCCCCTACTCTACTTGCGCTATATTGATGACATCTTCATCATCTGGACCCATCGAAAAGAAGCCCTTGAGGAATTCCACCATGATTTCAACAATTTCCATCCCACCATCAACCTCAGCCTGGTCCAGTCCACACAAGAGATCCACTTCCTGGATACTACAGTGCTAATAAACGATGGTCACATAAACACAACCCTATACCGGAAACCTACTGATCGCTATTCCTACCTTCATGCCTCCAGCTTTCACCCTGACCACACCACACGATCCATTGTCTACAGCCAAGCTCTGCGATACAACCGCATTTGCTCCAACCCCTCAGACAGAGACAAACACCTACAAGAGCTCTATCAAGCATTCTTACAACTACAATACCCACCTGCGGAAGTGAAGAAACAGATTGATAAAGCCAGAGGAGTTCCCAGAAGTCACCTACTACAGGACAGGCCTAACAAAGAAAATAACAGAACGCCACTAGCCATCACCTTCAGCCCCCAACTAAAACCCCTCCAATGCATTATTAAGGATCTACAACCTATCCTGAAGGATGACCCAACACTCTCACAAATCTTGGGAGACAGACAGCCCCTCAACCTGAAGCAAAGACTCACCAGCAACCACATACCACACAACAGAACCACTAACCCAGGAACCTATCCTTGCAACAAAGACCGTTGCCAACTGTGCCCACATATCTATTCAGAGGACACCATCATAGGGCCTAATAACATCAGCCACACTATCAGAGGCTCGCTCACCTGCACATCTACCAATGTGATATATGCCATCATGTGCCAGCAATGCCCCTCTGCCATGTACATTGGTCAAACTGGACAGTCTCTACGTAAAAGAATAAATGGACACAAATCAGATGTCAAGAATTAGAACATTCTTAAACCAGCCGGAGAACACTTCAATCTCTCTGGTCACGCGATTACAGACATGAAAGTTGCGATATTACAACAAAAAAACTTCAAATCCATACTCCAGCGAGAGACTGCTGAATTCGAATTCATTTGCAAATTGGATACAATTACCTTAGGCTTGAATAGAGACTGGGAGTGGCTAAGTCATTATGCCAGGTAACCTCTTTCCCCTTGTTTTTTCCTATCCCCCCACCCCCAGACGTTCTTGTTAAACCCTGGATTTGTGCTGGAAATGGCCCAACTTGATTATCATACACATTGTAAGGAGAGTGATCACTTTAGATAAGCTATTACCAGCAGGAGAGTGGGGTGGGGGAAGGTATTTTTTCATTCTGTGTGTATAAAAAGATGGATGAAGTGAGCTGTAGCTCACGAAAGCTCATGCTCAAATAAATTGGTTAGTCGCTAAGGTGCCACAAGTACTCCTTTTCTTTTAGCATATAGCTCATATGCTGTTGTGGCAGCAGCACAAAGTGAGAAATGAAGCTAGCCAGTTTCTAGGAAATATCAATGTAATACCTGTCACTGAAGCAGATGCATTTTAAAGATGATCTTCAAAGTTCGGTTTTTGTAATTGGGTTTATGTCCTTTTTTTATGATACATAAAGTTGGCCTGAAAGTTTATTGTTCACATTTTTTACCTTGTCAATAAAAGTTGGCCTGTGTGCAATTTGATTGCCACCCTTCACTCCAGTGGTGACTGCATTTCACTGCTACATATGTTTTACCAGACAACTTTGGGGTCCTTTGAGACTGAGGGCACGTCTTCACTAGCAACATTAAAGCACTGGTCATGGCAGTGCTTTAACGTGGCTGTGTAGTCACGGCATAGCGCTAGGAGAGAGCTTTCCCAGTGCTATAAAAAAAACACTTCCACGAAGGGAGCAGCTCCCACCGCTGGTGCACTTTACAGCGCTGAAACTTGCAGGGCTCACAGGGGGTGTTTTTTCATACCCCTGAGCGAGAACATTGCAGCACTGTAAAGTGCCAGTGTAGAAAAGCCCCAAAGGTGCCCTTAAAACGTAGCATATGAAGTGAAATTCATGTACCTTATTGATGACTGAAGCAAGAAGGACTCAATTGTTTGACCAGATCTTTTCCATCTTTCATTTGTCAGGTGAGAGAGAAAAATGGGTCCGTTCTCTGCAGTTTTCCAGTATCCACGTTTACAGACTGGAAGCCAGGTGCTGACAGCATGGTGGGGCCATTTTAAAAAGTCAGAGGATAGCTTTGTGCTTCCACACAGCAAGGGGCCGGGATGGCACAAGGCTTGTGCTCCGCAGCGGACTCCACGCAGGCCGGGCGCGTGCCCCAGCGTTGCTATAGCAACCACCCCTCGCGGAGCCGGGGCTGTGCGCCCCAGCGTTGCTATAGCAACCACCCCTCGCGGAGCCGGGGCTGTGCGCCCCAGCGTTGCTATAGCAACCACCCCTCGCGGAGCCGGGGCTGTGCGCCCCAGCGTTGCTATAGCAACCACCCCTCGCGGAGCCGGGGCTGCGGGTACTGGAGGGGCAGGACTGTCCCGGGGCCCGCTGGCCCCCACAGGAACAGAGAGCCGCTCACGGGGGCGGGACACAAAGAAGGGCCGATAAGAGCCACGGGCCTGAGAACAGCAGAGACCGAGACGCGGGAAGCAGGTGTAGCGGTTACCGTGGGGCGGCTCCCTGCAGCCCCCACGAGGTGTGTGTGTGGGGGAGGGAGGGTCGGTGTATGAGCAGCCCCCCACCGCCCCAAAGGGCAGGGTGTCCGCAGCACCCGGGGGCGGTGGCGGGCCCCGCGCCGGCCGGCCGGCCACTCACCTCGCGCAGCAGGCTGAGGCGGCCGCTCTGCAGCTCGTAGAGCTGGATGACGCCGGTGCCGCGCGGGACGCTGCCGAGGCAGAGGAGGCGCGCGCTGCACGGCACCCATTTGCACTCGAACACGGTGTAGTTCAGCGACTGCTGCACGTGCGTGATCAGCTGCGGCTTCTCCAGCCCCGCGCCCGACATACCGCGCGCCGGCGCCGCCCCAACCGCCACCGCCTTTGGCGACTACACACATGCCAGGTGCGCAGGCCCAACGGTAACATCCGGGGCTCAGCCCGCCTTCCTGGGGCTCCTAGGAGTTCCGTGATGGGGGCCTGAGGACGGAAGTGACGTTTCTGTGGTTCCGGCCTGCGTCAGCCCATGCCCGGCTCCGTCCGGACGTGTGAAGCGTTGCATGGAGGGGCCAGCGGAGGAAGGGATCGGGGGGAGCGGCCCCGCCGCGGCCCCAGAGACCCAGAGCGCGACGGAGGCTGGGGGCTTCATCAGGGTCCCCAAGCGGAGCAAACGGAAGCGGCGGGCGGCCGAGCTGGATGGGGGCGGCGGCGGCGGGAGCCGCATGGACACGGGGCAGCCCTGGCCCAGCAAGAGGCCTCACTTCCCGCCCGTCTGCGGGGACGCGCTCAGGGTGAGCCGGGACGTGCCGGGCCTGGGCTCCGGGGGTGCCGTGGCGGGGACAGGCCCTGCCCGTGGGGCTTGAACTGGATCGAACCAGCCGCTGCCTGGAGCTCGCCGAGGCCCCGTTCGCCGTCAGCGAGCCGGGTGCTGCGGCGGACGGGGCTCCCCTGTGCCCCCTCCGTGCCCCGGCCTGGGGGTGCGGAGCCCGAGGGCGCCGGCACGTAGGCTGAGCTCATGGAGCGACACGCCGCTGTGTCCTCCCGCCGCGTGGCAGCGCAGCGCTCCGGGTTGTAGCGGGGTTGGGGCCCGGTTAAAACATGAGCGAGGTAGGTTCGAGCGGTGTCCTGTCGCCCTGGTCCTGTTGTTTTCTCAAGGTAAATAAGGGCACACGGTGGGGGGCGGGGGAGATGGTTTTCACCTTCCTGCCGGCTGAAGCTATCGTGTTAAAGGGGCGTTGTTAACTCGAAAGACAGTCAGCTTTAAAAAAAAGCCCCCCCAGAAAGTAATAGGTACTAGACCGGGTCTTGAGTCCACCCGCAAACATCTGTGGTTTTGCGGTTATATAGCTTTGTAATGGTTTTTCTGCTCACAAACATGAGACATTGACTATACAGGGGAAACAATGAGACCAGTAAGTACTGTGCTGTCAATGCAAAAACTAAACAAACGTTTTATCATTCAGCTAAAATAATATTAGGAATGATAGGTAAACATTTTTAGTTAGAAGTGTGACTTTTCAGTCGACTGAAAAGGAGGACTTGTGGCCCCTTAGAGACTAACAAATTTATTTGAGCATAAGCTTTCATGAGCTACAGCAGTTGGGCATGTATCCGGTGAAGTGAGCTGTAGCTCATGAAAGCTTATGCTCAAATAAATTTGTTAGTCTCTAAGGTGCCACAAGTACTCCTTTTTTTTTTTCTGCGGATACAGACCAACACGGCTACTACTCTGAAACTTTTCAGTGGACTGTGTCCCTTTAGCTGTATAGCAGGTTTATTGTTTATAATAATCTCCACAGGCACACTTTTTCTTCAGTGACGGTGAGCTTTTTAATTTGGAGCTGAAGAACACTGTTTGGAAACTAAGCAGGAGTAGACGGGAAAACATTTGCAGCAAGAAGTTTCAGCTTTTTAAAAGTTGAAGTACTTGATAATAACTCTCCAGTTCCTTGGCACTGCCTGTGTCCAGTAAATATTAGTATTTAATCTCATCCATCATAAGTAAAATACTGGTATAAAACTTCTTTCACTGCTCTGGCAGTCTGTGCCTTCTATATTTTGGAGTCCCTGATATTTTTCCCTAACACGTTTTTTTCTTTCATTGGTGTAGTGACTTCAAGGCAAAAGCATGATTTGATGATTGAGCACTCTGATAGGCTGTCTTTTGGCAAGAATGATCATAGTAGTGGTTAGTTCTACTTGAACTTCTTTTTTCTTTCTAGAGCGGAAAAGATGAAATGAGGAAAATTCCTGTACCAGCAAACAGATATACTCCTTTGAAAGAAAACTGGATGAAAATATTCACACCTATTGTAGAACACCTGCATCTTCAAATCAGATTTAACTTAAAAACAAGAAATGTAGAAATCAAGGTAAGGAGAAAGCTCTTTCCTGCCGTTTTCATGCAGCACCTCAGTTCAGCTGAGTCAGAAAACTTATCTTTTGCATCTCTTATATTTGTTCGGAGCACAAAAACGTGTTAATTATCTAGATCCCAGTTACTAGCTATAGTAAACTAAAGTGGAGCCGTGTAGAACATATGGGATCAAACTAAAACTTAACAGAGGTGTCCTGAAGTACTTTACTCATAAAGCAATAAATAAAACTTAGAGAAAAGTAACCCCCTGGCAATACTGACCCAGAGGCTGTTTATCCCTAATTTGACATCACATAAGGGAGGGAAAAAAATCAGTTTTTGAACAGCTCTAACCATTAGATTTGATTGCAGAATGCAATCCTTTGTAAATAGTTAAGACTGTATAACAGTTATGTAAATGGTTTGAGTTATGTTTTTGGGCTGCCAAATCTCATAATGTCTTTTATTCATCGTAGCGGACAAGCAATCATAATTACTTAGCGCATCTGTTCCTTCTGTCTAATGGACTATGCTCAAGTCACTTGGGATATAGAAAGTGATAGTTGCAGCCATAACTAAAATTCTTATTGACTGCCTATGCAGCTTAACAACTTTTAACAGCGTGTCTAAAGCTTTTGTTAAGCCCCTGACATGTGGGTAACTATATTTATAGCATGTTGTAATACTTTTATTAAGCTGTGTTCCAGATTAATCTTTAAAAGCCACATTTTCAAATTTAAGGGTTGAAATGTGGAAGCTACTGGTAACTTCTTTCCCTTGTCAATAAATCTTATTCTGAGTACGGTCTTCACTACAAGACTTACAGTAGATAAGCCTGCACAAATGTCGTCTTTAGACAGTGTTCTGTTTTTTTGACAGTTGTGACTTGGTCATAGATCTTATGTGTAATATACATAATATCGAATTTGGAAAACTGGAGATTTATAAATTGCTGTTTTTTGAGACTCTGGAATGTGCTTGAACAATTAGAGGAAGGCATTACTAACTTTTTTGGTATCACCTCTTGAGGATAACAATATTGACATGTTATACAAAATGTACAGTCAGTTTTCCTTTTTTAATTTTTTTTTTATTTTTTAAATTCGGTGTCTCCCACTGTCAAAGGAAACATGAATAAAATGCAGCATGATCTCCTCCCTCAGCCCCTAGCACATTCTGCTCCTCACTGAGACTTCGGATTTGCTTTCCTCCTCCACCTGCTCCAGTATCCCTAGCCCTTTTTGTTTTATAATCTCAAACACCCCCCACCCCCCCTCCCCAAACACGTACTTCGATTCTTTCCATGCTCAGTACAAGCATCATTTGGTCTCCCCAATCTTAAAATATAAATAGGAAAAAAGAAGCCCACCTTAATCCATATCACCGTCAAATTATTGTCCAATCTCTCCCCCTATATTTCTGGACTTGCTCTCCCCTGTAGTCACTCTGTGGGGTTCTTTCCTTCTGTTTTCATCATAAACCCTCTCCAGTCATGCTTCTGCCCACTAAACTCTAATATAAAGTTTAAGACCTGGTGGGACCACCAGATTGTGTAGTCTGACCTTTATGTGACAGGCCATTAACACCTCCTTGCATACTCCCACTAACCCCCACAATCAAAGTTAGACCAAAATATTACAGCCCACGGGAGCCTCGATTACTGTGTGCCACAGAGAGAGAATGATGCATCTTAGTCCGTCCTAATGTCTGAGGCCTCTACAGTGGCAGAGAAATGATTAAGTGAGATGGCCAGATAATCCTGGCAAGTGACTCACATCCACATACTGCAGAGGAAGGTGGAAAAACCTGCAAGGCTGTTGCCAGTCTCACCTTGGAGAGAATTCCTTCATATGGTGAACAGTTAGGTCCTGATCAAGTGAGCAAGAACCATCCAGCTAATTACCTGAGAGAGAATGTTCTGTGCACCTCAGAGCATAGCCCACCCTGTCCAGTGTCCCATCTCCAGCCATGACCATCCCTGATGCTTCAGAGGGAGGAGATGGGGAGGGGGAGGAAGCCCCCAGAATACATAGCTCCCACTCTCACCAGAGTCTTTAATGATGCACTTCAAGCCATGAGATTTGTCAAGGCTCTCCTCGCTCATCTTCCTCAACTAGTTGTCTGACTTTCTTGCTATCTAATTTATTGCTCTTGAAATTTTGTTTGCTCTTAATTTTTGTGGTTATCCTCCTACGTTACTCTGCCTCTAGTGTTTCATTTGGAGGGTCCTCCTCTTTTTCTCCTCTCCAAATTTTGGTGGTGGTCACACAAGGCTTCCTTGTTGGTCACCTATTTTTCGTTAGTCAAAGTCATGCAAGTATCTATCTCCTTTATGCTGCTGACTCACAAAACTGCCTCTCCTTGTCCTATCTATCTCCTTGTCCAGACCTGCATTTCTGTGTATCATTCTGACGTCTTATAAATTTGTAGATAAGACCCCAAGGAATCACTATGATCTAATCTGACCTTCTGGATAGCCTACTCAGCAACATTTGTATCAAGTTCATAATGTCTGTTTGATCTAGGGCATATCTTTAGAAAGATATCCAGTTTGATCTAAGGACTTCAAATTATGGAAAATTCACCACATCCCTAGGTAAAATCTCATAGTTGTCCAATCATTAATCTCACTCTGGCCAAAATTGTGGGCTTCCCCCCACACACAGCTGTTGGCGGGAATCTCAACACAGATTGGCAGGAATCCCAACACACACATCCCTGTGTTGGAAGGAGATGCAAGCGAGGATTCCATTCATACAAGTTCTCAATACTCTTTTAGACAGGGCCTGCTGCTGTTGGCTGTCAAACTGTCTAGTGCCTCCCTGCTTCTCATTTTGCTGCTCTCTGTTTGAGGATGGCATGGGTTTGTTCCAGGAGAAGGAAAACCTCAGTCCCGCCCCATTCTGGCAGAGGACTCTGTTGGGCATAAACTGACTTGGTGGGGAGAGAGGCTGCCTAGCATTGATTGAGTGGTCTGGGTAGCAACACACATTCCCATGGTGGAGGGCCAGTATTAATTGAAGGCGCAGTGTTAATTCAGCAGAACTCCAGGGTCTCTGGACCCAAGCAGTAGATCAGACAGGAGGGGGTTGGCTTGGGGAACTGGTGTATTTCAGGCTGCTGAGTAGACTTAGTTCTTGGACTAGTAGCTGTTAGGTGAGTTTCTCAAGTCCTGACCTCTTTCTCACATGCAGCTTAATTTGTTTCTCATGTAGACTTGTAAAGAGACAAAAGACGTAAGTGCTCTAACGAAAGCAGCTGACTTTGTGAAAGCATTTATTCTTGGATTTCAAGTTGAGGTGAGTCTTCGGCAGCCAGGTGGTCCAAGTCACCTAGTCTAAATTGTAATATAAGTAGGGATAATAGAAACCTGCTGGCTTAAAATCCTTGGCTTCTGTGCAGGCTTGCCATGGGGATGCTGGTTATGGGGCAGGTTTTCTCTAGTTTCCCAACACAGTGGTACAGTAAGCTTGCCTTTGTAAAGCTGGAGGGATGTGTGTTATGTAAACACTTTATTTCAAAACCACTCCGAAGGGATACATTGAATCTCTGGTGATATATATTTTTTTTGCATAGATGTTTGTTTGAATTCGCTATTTTGCTTGTATCCATCATATACTTCTATTAAGGTTAACTTTTTGAAGAAGCATCAGACCATTTGATGCATTTTAAACTAAGCTTTAGAGGTCTCCCCTTTTTTTTTTAAACAAAACTTGGTATGCTGGTGCTTAAAGTAAATCATGAGTTGATTCAGGGTTGTAGACCAGCTTCATCATTTTAATTTTTCTGGTTATACACTGTCCTAGGGGAGGGATAGCTCAGTGATTTGAGCATTGGCCTGCTAAACCCAGGGTTGTGAGCTCAATCCTTGAGGAGGCCATTTACGGATCTGGGCCAAAAATTGGGGATTGGTCCTGCTTTGAGCAGGGGGTTGGACTAGATGACCTCCTGAGGTCACTTCCAACCCTGATATTCTGTGATTTTCTATGATTCTATGCACGTGCACATTCCAGTGGGAGGTTGGTGTTTTGGGTGTAGAGAGCGTGATCGGGTATTTAAAACTCATTCAGGGTTCCTTATACAGGAACATAAGCTGCACCCAACTAATTCTTCAGTGGATTAGCCTGATGCTGTTTGAGACATTACATGAGGTCATTCTGTGAATCTGTTCTATTATTTATGTCTTTCCAAAAAAAAAAAAAAAGGTTTATGATGCAGATCGTTAGACATATTTTGCTATCTATATTCTGCAGCATTATAACAATCTTTTTAATATTTTAGGATGCTCTTGCTCTCATCAGGTTAGATGACCTTTTTCTAGAATCTTTTGAAGTTACAGATGGTAAGTGTCTTCTGTTGCAAAACTTTTAATAGTGCATCGGGTGTCATTGTCTTCTCTGCCCAAAAGAAAATTGCCTTTGAATATTCAGTAGAACTTGAGATCCATTGTGAGTTGTTTTGTAGCTTAGTGTATATAAGCAAACAACATAAATCACAGATACTGTGCAGTAGTATATAACTGAATTTGTCAAATATTTATGATAATACGCTACTATAGTGTATTTTGCAAAAGGAGCAGTCTTAGTAATGAGACCTCACTACAGCACTCCCTGTTACATCTTAGCTGAAAAGTAGGGTGATTCTAGTTTGTCATGAGGATTATTGGGCTCATGTAGTGTTTGAGCAGTGGCACTGTGCCTGATGCTGTATAAAATAAGACAGACCTTGTCTCAAGGAGTTTAGAGCCTAAATAGGAACGTGAGAATCAGCAGACCTGTGCTGCAATTTTTTAAGCATTGTGTGGGTTAATAGACATCTGCTATGGAGGTATTTAGCAAAAATAAGCAGCACTGCAAAACTGATTCTGAATTCAGAGGCAAGTGTGACACCTTTCACTTGATTTTACCTGTCCTAAATTCATTTAGTGGAAATATTGCTTCCTGTAGTAAGTAGTCAGCCAGTGTAGTTCACTGCTGTGGGAGGTCAGTCTTTTTTAAAGACGCCGGGGGCGGAAAAAAGGGTTGGATAACATAATTGGTAACACTGCACAATCTTGAAAAAGCATGTAATTCTCCTCGGGGACATACATTTCTTTCCTGACCCGCAGAGTGAGCACTTTTACTCCTATATACAGCAGTACAAAATTGGCTAGATTCATGGTGGTAGCACAATTGCCTTTCTCCTGAAACGTCAACAATTTTGTTCAGGGTTAGAAGCAGTATATCAGACTTGTCAGGTTAGTTCTCATCTGGTTTATGAAAGCCTGTATTCCTAATCTCTGCCGCTTATTTGTGACAAATAGTTAATGCTGTAGCTACCCTTTTCCTTGCCAAAAGAAGAGTTGAGGAAGTGCGTAGTGAATTTGAAAAGTGACATTCTGGGTGTGTATTAGGGAATGCCATAGCTCTGGGTTTTAGACTGAGGGCTGGTAATGGTGTTTTGGCCCATCTGCCCCACACCTGACTCCCACTCATCGAATGCTGAGTGGAGCAGCAAACAAAATAAATCCTACCACTACAAAACACTATGCTGCATGTGTAGTTCTCCCCTGGGGAGAGGATGAGAGAGCATGAACAACAACTGACAGATGTTAGTTACGTTGCTGAATGCACTAGTGGAAGGTGCTCAGATACAAAGGAATAAGGGTGGTATAGGAACCTAGATGTTTCTAATTTCAGTTCTGTTCTACATGAGCATGTTAATTGTTTTGATCCTCTCCCACCTCACTCAGGAATTGATCCTTGTTCCCCAGCCACTTGAGGAGTGATTTCTGTTAGTCCTACACAGAGATCACTTTAATACTCCTCTCTGACACACTGCTAGTCTGGGGTGAGCTGCTGTCCCACTGTAGTGAATAAAATAATCCCGGTATAGTGTTTCCCTGTCACCATAGAGGTATTTTGAAACTCATTCCTGTTTGTAAAGTGATTTGAAAGACCCTAAAAGCTGCTATAGAAATACATATTCCTATTGGCTAATGAAATGCAGTTTTTTCCCTTCTGCTTTAGTCAAGCCTTTGAAAGGAGATCACCTTTCTAGAGCAATAGGAAGAATAGCGGGAAAAGGTGGAAAAACCAAATTCACTATAGAAAATGTAACCAGGACACGAATAGTTCTTGCTGACTCGTAAGTAGACTCTCCTTCTCATATTTAATTTCTAGGCAATGTGCGGTTCCTAAAACTTGTATTTGATCCTTCATTGATTCTTCCCTTCTGTGCAGTAACCCAGAATGCAGTGTTGTGCATGTAAATGTAGGGACAGTTCTACATGATGGGGATCATTCAAGATTCTTGCTCTCCAAACCAATGAATACTAACATCTTCAAAGTGCTTGAATTCTTGGCCTACATGGTAATGAAAGGTGAATGCTCCTTAGGGGCCAATAGTAGGATCAGCATCTGAGGCAACATCACTGGAGGTTGGAAGCTGAATGGGTAGGGGAGTTATGTTCTGATGGTAGCTGAATGGTGTCCCCCAGAATTATAGGCTTCCTAAATTGCAGGAACCTCAAACAGTATCAGTGAAGAGGTATGATATTTGAAAGAATGTACAGATGACAGGTAGCCATGTTTTGGTTATAAAGATGGAAGGTGCTCAAAATATGAAAATACATGTTTAAAGTGAAGCACAAATTAGCCTCCCTCTCTGACTGAATTTGAGCTATCCAGTATAATGATCTGGTGAAGGGAAGTCGATGGGGACTTGTTCTAATGCTTCCATGTTTGAGGAGACTTTAAAGGATAAGCTTCCAGAGGGAGCGCAGTTCAGTCTCTTCTCTTTTGTAGATGCAAGTTGACCCACTAAATAAAATGCAGGGGAAGGTCTGAGTATTAAGGTGCATCTTCATGTGATAGCTGGAAGTGCAGATATATAGTTTGCATCTACAAATGTGAGCATGCACAAGTTACATTGAAAAGGGTAGAGGATAGCAATGAGTTGTTCACTGTTTGGGATGCTTAGTCTCTTTAAATGGGAAGTGGGATCTTGGACTTCCAGATCAGTTTCTCCTCTGGTCACTGCTACTAAACTTGGTTACAACTGCTCTCATCACAGAACAACTCAAAACCTTGACCTCTCCAATGTTGTGAGCTAATCGCAACATCTTTGGAAATAAATTATGCATCAGAAAAGACTATGGGACAGAGATTCCACCTATTGTTGGTAGCATGAAGTGAAAGGAACACACCAGCTCAATCATCCTTGTTACAAGTGTTGTAATTAATAATGCAAGACTAGAATTCACTAGTACTTCGCTGCCAAAGATCTAGTGTGTTGATTCTTGATTCTCAAATTCACTTGAATACCATAATATTAACTACATGCTTAAAGGGAAAAAACCTTTCCCAAATAACACTGTTTTGGTTGCTTGTTACAGGAAAATTCATATTTTAGGATCTTTTCAGAATATTAAGATGGCACGAACAGCAATTTGCAATCTCATTTTAGGTAAGCCCTATTAAGTAACTTCAGTCCCTTGTGCAAAAACATTGATTTGTTGTAAGATCTGTATTTAAGGGGAAACTGCGATCATTGCTGCTTTAAGTAGGGCTTAATATTTTTTTTGCCAGAGGATTATTCTAAATCTGAACTCTTAAATTAACTCACCTCATTCTTGACTGCTACTGCTGGGGAAAGATCTTCTGCTCCTAGGTACTCCAATTGTTGCAGAGTAAAGATAGCAAAATTGCTCCCTGCGTGTGTACCTCCCAACTTCGTGCTTTAAGCAGAGCAGGGAAGGGAGTGTTGAACGTCCACAGAGGGCTGCACTAACTAGTGACATTTCCCGTTTCTGGCTTTTGTTGTTTAGAACTAGCTAAAACAGGTGAGTTGAAAGTCTTACAGTACCGGGTTATTAAATGAAAAGTTAGCACAAGCTTAGTGTCCAATAGATAATTTGCCAATCCTCTCCAGCTAGGAATGACTTCTAAAGAAAAATCACTTGTAAACAACAAATCTATATTTCTTGCAATTAATTGCAAAGCTTTACCAAAGCATAGCGACTATCTCCTCCTTTATATTGAATCCTTAATAATCTGCTGACAAGCTGATGATTTCTTTTGGAGCCTCGTCAGTCAGGGAAAATTGCATTGGCAGTAATGCAGACAGCTTGAGCTTTCAAAAGCAGCCTTAATCTTACAGCAGAGTTTGTACTAATGGTTATCTGTCAATAGCATTTTATAATAATGTGTCTGTCTTCTCTGCAGGAAGCCCTCCATCAAAAGTCTATGGCAATATTAGAGCTGTGGCAAGCAGAGCAGCTGAAAGATTCTAAGACCCAGGACTCTAATTTGGGACTCTGTATCCAATATACAGATATTGTGGCTGGAGATCTTAATACACAGCTAATGTGTATAGAAATAACACAAGTTCTGCATGAAGCTTACAGGTGCTCAGCCTCCTTCAACTTGATTGGGAAGTTTAGAAGAAAATAGGGCTGCTTTTGCAGTCTGTTTTCATTCAGGCATAATGTCTGATCTTTTGACAAAATATTTAAGTAATTTAACAAAACCCTTGTATGTTCATTAAATATTAATGCTTTATCACTAATCAAAAGTATGGTTAATTTGATTGTATCTTTCACTTAAAGCAAGCATACTGATAACAGGACCGTTGGTTTCTGAAGAAAGTGACTGGTTAGGAAGCATTGTAAACTCATGCATTCAGATTTCTTAAATTGTGTAAACTTAGTTCTTCGACCAGTGGCAACAGTCTGACTCACTTGATTGTATGTCACCTTTGGTGATTTATTTATAAAATTCCTAGAGGAGGGGGAAGCAGGGCCTGTACATATCTGAGCTGCAGACCAAAATCTTGTCATGATACTTTGTATAGTATACATCAGGAATCTCAAATCACCACAAGGGCCACATGAGGACTAGTACAGTGGCCCAAGAGCTGCATCACTGACACCCTGCCTCCACTCCACCCCTTCTATGAGGCCCTGCCCTGTCTCTTCCCACCCCCCATTCCAACCCTTTTCCCAAATCCCTGCCCCGCCTCTTCTCCACCTCCTCCCCTGAGCATGCAGCTCCCTGCTCCTGGAAAGAGCTAAGTGCTGCCAAACAGCTCTTTGGTGGTGGGAAGTGCCTGGAGGTAGGCAGAGGAGCAGGGATGTGGCATGCTGGGGGGGTGGCAGGTGAAAGCTTGGCAGCCTGCAGCAAATGTGGCCTCTGTGTTTGAGACCCCTGGTATACATATCACAGAACATGATATAAGATACTGTACAGAAATGGTTAATAGCTCAAGTGTTTAGTGTCCCTAGTTATGTTTTGGAACAGGAAAAGTAGAGTTTTCCACAGACACATCCCTTGCTGGATATTGTCATCCACCTTGAGTCCAGTGGTTAGGCTTTCTTTGACTTAAGTCATTACTCAAGATGACAATGGGCAGGGACATTTTCTTTGTGATGAAGATGCACTCTCAGATGGAAGTGTCAAGTACTTGAACAAATTGATGCATTAAAAAGCAGGCACCAGGCCCACATGGTATATATCTGAGATTTCTGAAGGAGCTTAGATATGAAATGGCTGAGTTGTTCATAAATCTTATTTAAAGATGGTTACTTTCCAAGCTTCTGGAGTAATAGCTATGTTGTGCCTGTACTTAAAAAAAGCTCTGGCAATATGTGAGAAATCATAGACTAGTAAGTCTTCCATATGTACTTCACACATTTTACTTGTAATTATCATTTCAACTAAATCTGCCATCTGGAAAATCATGAGATTAACCAGCATGATATGTACAAAGGAAAATAGCTTTTGAGAAGGTTCCTCAGAGGCTACTGACAATAAGTTTCTCGTAAGGTGAAAGACAAAATAGTGCCATGGATCCAAAAACTGTTTAGGAGATGATAAGTGACCATTTAATCTGTTTTTATAGCAAAAGCACAACAGCTGCAAGGCCCGTGGTTCTCTATGTACTTATGTTTCCAAACAATTATTTATACAGTGAACATAAGTAGTGAAGAAGCAAAGTTTAGATGTTATTTAAATTAGTCAGGACCAGAAGAAGTTGAGCCATTTGACCAAGCTAGGTGAAAATGTAATGATGGATGAAGTTCAGTGTCAGTAAATGCAAAGTAATATACATTGCAGGGAAAACAAACTACTCATGAACCTTCCAGAATGCTAAACTATCAATGCAGGAAAGCAATGCAGGTGATGTAGACATCTTAATGAAGACACCAGTGTGCAGTTGCAGTCAAAGAAAAGGTGATTTAAGGAAGAGGATGGAAAATACACCTGTACAATAAAGAATATGGCAGAATTGGGGTGTGTTTAGGGAAGAATTAAAATAAAGGGCACAGAAAAACTCATGACTGAATAGAATGAGATTGTTTACTTACCTTAATTTGCCCCCTTTGGGTGAGTAAACATGACATCGCACCTTCAATTACATCACAATTTTTTTTTTTTTCCACAGAACTCCTTCCTCAGTGCACATGATGAATGGGTCTGATTGAGCAGCTATTCAATAACTTGTTTCCTCACTGTTCACTGTAGGACCCCCAGCCTTATTTACTGCATCCTATTCAATCCTGGCTCCAAAGACAATTTTGTCATCAGCTTTTTGCTATAGTATTGAGTGCTTCACAAACAACTTATTTTCACAACGGTGAGGGGGCTCTATACCCATAATACAGATTAAGGACTAAGGCAGCAAGAGTAGACCCTTCTGATGATTAAGTTTAGGAGCTTGGTTTAAGATGTGGGGGGAAATTCCAGCTACTACAATAGAGGCAGTGGGGTAAAATGGGGCACAGGTGGGCCCAGCAATCTCCTGGGACTCACAACAGTGCAGGAAAGCTCCTCCTCACTGGGACCACCAGGACATATGTGGTAGTAAGCTTAATTATTGAATTTCCTAACTTGAGTGCTTGGCTTTAACTCATGTTTAATACAATTTTAATTTTTTTTAAAGGCAGTATATTAACTCCTACACCAGGCCATCAACAGGGTTGGAACCTTTAGATAGATCACCCACTCCTAGCTTTTCACCCCAGCCCAGTCCTTTCCTTCCCCCTGGCTTGACTCGTCCCTTCTGTATTTGCATAAGGTGGCTTCCTCTGCTACCCTACCTGGACACCAGTAGGGGCATCACTGAGAGCATTGGATAGGGGGTTCCCTGTTACATTCCTTAGCTCAGGGGTCATGGAGGTTTTACATGGGTTGCAAGTACATGCATGAAACAGAGCATCTGCTATAAAATATATTTAAATACCTTCTGCAGTTTTGGCTGTTGCTGCAACGGTGCTGCCTTCAGAGCTGGGTGCCTGGCCAGCAGCCAGCACTGTGCGGTCACTCAACTCTGAAGGCAGCGCATGCTGCCAGCATCACCACAGAAGTAAGAGTGGCAATGGGGTGCTAGTCAGTCTACTGTGAAGTGATATTTGTATGTTAATACCACTTTTCACTGCCTCCCAGCTAGCGAGCAATTCTGCTGTGAAAAGCGATAGACAGTTTCTTCACATACCTCCTGGTATTAAGCAGTAAATATTTAAAAATATAACTTTTCTGCTAATAATTCAATCTTTAATTTAAAAGCTGTGAGAAAAGATACATTCATTTTAAATAGGGTTATTAATTTAGCATTTAAAGTAGTGTTAAATATAAAATAGTGGTTTAATTTAGATGGGGAGGTGTCAAAGGGGTCACCCATACAAAAAGTTTGTGAACTACCCTAGTCCACAGCTGCCAAGCAAGTGGCTTCCCCCCTGCAGCCTAGTGTAGTCAGCAGTTGGAGCAGTGAAATAGAGCATGCTGGGTGCAGGTAAGATTTTAGCTGCTTCACTCTGACCATGTGAAAACAGATTTTTCAGAGGCTTAGAACTTGGTCAAATTTCAGTTCCATTCTCAAGGTATGGGGGGGTACAAGGGCTTCTCAAAGAAATTCTAAAACCATTTTAAATATGGGAGAAATGTATTTTTCCCTAACTTTGTTCTCAAAACCAGCAGAACCATTTTGCACGAAACCTTCCAAAATGATTCCATTGCAATTTGCCAAACTTCAGCTGTTTGGGCTGAAAAGATATAAACAACAGAAGCTACAGTCTTATATGGGGAAGATGTCAGGCAAACTTCAAACGTAGTGCTACCAGTAACAATGAACCAGCCAAATTCCTCCACTTTAAGCATACTAAATACTTTCCTAATGTAAACAGGTCACTTGTTATGAAGGGAGATTTCTATTAAATGGAGCATCCTAAAAAGACCCCACTTCCATGTTCAAGTTTACACATTTTAAAATGGAATTTCAGGCCTATACCATCCTTCTGAATGCAAGGACAGCGCGAGATATGTACCTGCCTGAATCTTGTACTATTGAACCAGCTCAATTTAAGTAAAGCAGTGAACCTATCTACTGGACAAGGTTCTAGTTCAGTAAATGCTGCTTGACGTGGTACGGAGCGTATGCAGAGTTGCTGGTGCTCAGCACATCAACATCAATACAGCAGCAGATTTCCCCTCAAAAATTTCAACTAGAGGGGCAGTTTTCAATCATATGAAGCCTTCTGCTGGGGGTGTTAATACGGCTGCATGTTTAGAGAAATGAACCGCTGTAACCTGTTGAATAGTTTAGTAGCATATGTGTGCACCTCTGTAAAGGCACATTCTTGCACTTCAGGCACCTGCTCCCATTTATCACGTGCCCAAAACACTACCAAACTTGTACTAAGGGTTCCCCCCTCTACTAATAGTTAAAATATCTAGGTGAGTTGTGATTTAAAGTTAGTCGGAAGATTGGCTTGTGTTGTCAAACTTCATCCCAATCCTGTCTGTCCTGGAACTTTGTCTTGTATATGCATTAGTACCGGTACTGCTTTTTTGCGAAGGGCTCAGACATCTTTGCCCCAAACTAATGAGGGCTAGTTAAATGGGAAGAAAGCATTATGATAGACTAATTTAGTCCTGCCATTTTACACACCAACTTTGAGAGCAGCAGAAAGAATAGCTACGTTGCACAGGAGTTTTCCTGAGGTAACTGTGCACTGAATGGAAGCTACTGTAAAGCTAGCATTGGGTGCTACACTGAAGGACAAAACGCTCCTCCTCCCCCCACACTGGGCTAGCCAAGTGGGACATCAAAAGCAATGAAATAAACAGGCTTTGGTTGAAATAAAAGGGCTTCCAGACTAGGAGTGTTTTTCAGTACTTAGAAACCAGACAATTGTGTTTTCCCTCTGCTTTCTTCAGAGGATAGTGCACCTGCCTCCGAGGACAAAGATCATTCCAAAATGCCTGTCATCCTTGCATTTAAGTTAGAGCTTCCTTTTACCGCCAAAAAACGTTTGAGCTAGTTGAGCTGTCTCCATGACGGCAGGTGGGTCCTATGAGACAGAGTTCTGTGTGGCTCGAAAGCTTCTCTCTCCCCAACAGAAGTTGGTCCAATAAAAGATGTCACCTCACCCACCTTGTCTCTCTCATGTCCTCTGGATTGGCAGATGAGCATATAGGAGAAAAATAACCTTTATAAAATCATGTGCCCCAGTAACAAAGAGAAGGTGGCTCTGAAACACTGCAAATGGGAGACTGGCAATGTCCCCACTAACAGCTGGCATCTTCTAATGCACACAACTTTCAATAGGAATTTTATAGCGCGGAGTACCCAATTTCTTTAAACTAACAGAAACTATGGAATTAGTTCTGCAACATTCATTTTTAAAAGTGTAAAGTAAAGCTGCCTGACATGAAGCTCAACAGAAACATTTAGGACCCGATGGCAAGGTTCAAATATTTTATTTTTTTATTCATATAGTATGAAGGTTCTATAGTTCCCACAACATATGATGTAGCATGCAGAGGAAAAACTAAACATTCAACATAAATCGTTTTCCCCACACAAACTAAAAAAAACCCCTTATCCCCCCGATAAGGAAATAACAACAGCACTATTTGCTAGAACGCCAGCCAAGATATGCACAAGCAAGTAAGAGAAATAGAAAGCATTTGCTAAAATGTTTGTAACAAATACTTATGTACAAAAAATTCACAAAAGACTAGTTCCCCCTTGAAGCAGAGCACATGGCAGTTGACAATGGAACAGATACAACCACTGGCTGGGATTATAAGCCACGTACTGATCCAGAGGAAGAAAGTTACATGTAGTGGAGATTTTCTGTTTGAACATTAACATTTACCAAAGTTTGGCAACATTATCTTTTTAAATTATGCAAATTATGTAAACAAGAGGAACATTTCAATTCGATCTACATGCAAAACTTCATGTCATGCAAGGACACCAAGCACCTGGATTTCTCTCTCACAGACAGAGCCCATGATGTGCAGCACTCAGTTGAAGGAACAGCTATGGCAGACAGGTGCTCCATTTAAGTAGGTTCATACAACCTGTCCTTTCCACTGTTGATTATAAAACATTTTTTAATAGAAAAACTGCTATACAGCAAAGATGTACTATCCTAAAAATCTAGTAAATGTGTTTTTCTTCCAGCCAATAGTACCATTGCAGAAAAGGGAAGGGATGATATAAAGTTGTAAAACATGGCTCGCTACTTTTATATCACACAAATATATCAAGTTACCATCCATTAGAAATCATGATATGGACAAATCTAGGGGGGAAAAAAAAGAATTCTCCAATTGAAGGACTGGAGAAGAGGAAGAGATAAATTTAGATAATGTGAAGTTTTCCTCCTTCTCTATGGCATAGGTTAACAAGATTCCCCCCCGTATGAATCCTATATACATATATATCTCTATAAATATAGAGAGATATATAAAATATGACCAGTTATTTATGCTACCTGTAGTACTTTTTTAAATGCAGAGGGGAAGCTGTTATGGTTGAAACAAATTTAGTGGCAAGAAACATTTTATAATTTCACTAAGCAATGTATAAAATGAGTAAATGGGAATCCTGCACAATTATATCAATCCTAAATTTCATTACGCTAAGTGCAAGAGAAATCATGAATGCATCAAACATCTTCAGCTGTTGTATCTGAAATGAATCTCACAGCTGATTTATATATTCTTAGGGCTATTTAATAGATGCAACTGCTCCCAGTTAGTAGGTGACAGAATGAAGTGACCATATAAGCGTGCTGCAAGTACTATATGCATACAAGGACTAGTTCTTGGCATTAGCATTAAACTATATTTTCTCATACTATTAAGCTTAGCTGTACTACAAGTTATTTAGCAAAGAGAGACAGTCCCTGGTAATATATTAACAGGTATAAATAAACTTAGTCTCCTGTGTTACAAAAATGTAATTAAGGTTAATTAACAGGAAGCAATGCTTTGTCAGCCAGTCAATATATAGAAACATCTGAACAGCCACAGGAAAAGGAAAACAGTTGACCTAACACCCTGTTAAATTTTTACATTCTTCTATTATATATATATAAAACTGTGTGAAATAAAAGTAAGGATGTATATCCATATATTGAACTGTTAATGTTCTGCTTGGCACTTTGTACTCTAGTTTTGTTTCTGAATCAAGTATATTAAATTAAAGCCCATCTAACTACTACATATAGAAAGCTACATATATATCTATATATAAATAGACACACATATATATATAGATAGATATTTCCTTGTTATAAAAGATGAAGAAAAATAAATTAAAAAGCCAACCCCTTCCCTTTCTCCACCACACTGATATGCTCTTTCCATCTTGCTGTCCTTCAGACTTTAAAGTGCTACACTGAGTTATTGAGAGAATAAAGTTCAATAACACTTAGTTGGCTTCATGAGGCTCATGTTGGAAAATGTGGCTTCACAGAGAAAAATACTTCCATTTAAATACACAGAGAGCGTTGCTGGACGTCTTGAGCAGATCTTCAGAGATGGAGAAGAAAGCAAAAGTGTTGGGTGGTGCCCTAAAAAGAGTCACACATCTACCACCATCTTTTTGTGGATATCTAGGCCCCCTACAACCTGAAATGGGAATGAAAAACATTTAAAGTTAAGAGAACTGAGAATTAGTAAAATGACATTAAATAGCACACCACATAAACATACTTCTACTTGCATCCTCTTAGCAACTTGCTACCTCCAGTCAGTTGCTTTTTCTGCTGCACGCCTCTTTTCTGGCCTTTCCACGCCAGCTTACACTCCCATAGACTGAGTAGGCCAAGTTCACAAGTAACATATAATGGGGTGTAAGTTATGGCAAGTAGGTTACATGTAACAGAATCTAGGTTAGTGCAACTCACACAGTGAGGGAGCCAGAAGAGAGAATAAATCATACCAGCTTATTCCCTCTTAGATCCGCTTATACTGACCTCTGAATTAATTTATCAGCTATGATTTTCATACACACAAGCCTCCTCGAATAGGAAAACTCTCATGGCCTGAAAATTAAACCTGTGAAGTCAACATGAGGAACCAGGAGCTTGGGGAAGCCCACCCACATCCCTGGTAAAAGAAAGGGCGTGCACAAAAAATATGGGGAGCATCCAAAAAGTGTTTGGGAACTTCCAAAAACAGCAGGATACACATGTTCAGAAAACTAAGGGAAGATGCAAAAACAAGGAGGCAGGGGAGGAATGGGTGTGCAAAGGAAAAGTGGGGAAAGGTGTGCAGCTGAAACAAGGGAAAGACATTCAAAGAAAAATGATCATGGAGGTAAAGGATGCATCAAAATCAACAAAACGTGAGAGAAAAAAATCAATGAGGGGAAATCAAAGAACAACGGCATAAGGGGAGGCAGAGATGGAGAGAGGTGGGATGAAAGGAATGGGTGAGGTATGGAGCAGAACAAACAAACGTGGAAGAAACCCACACATACTGGAAACTAACGAAAGGAGAGAGAGAACAAAAAGCAGAGGGGAACTGGGCAGAAACACTGTAAAAGAAATGCTGAGGACAATGGACAGACAATGGGAGAGCAGAGAACGAGAGGATAAAAGTGTGAAAAAGGTTAGGGGACAACAAAGACATCACCTATTTAAACGTGTACTGGCAGTACCGCTGTAGTCACGCTTGAGAAGGAAATTCATTCTAAGCTCTTGTTTACTAATGCATATAAATGACCAGAAAATGTACTCCTTATATTTCCAATGCTGGTCCTAGTCAGAACACAAAAATTGTATATTTTAAGTTTGGTAAAAATTCCATGTGGCCATTTCTTAATTAAAGGAGCATGAAAAATTGAGATTTTAATCCTTTAAGAAAGTTTCCAAGTGCTATAAGAGAAAAGGATGTTTTTTCAAAATCTGCACTCAACACGTACACCACACTTAATGAAGAATGAATGGTTTGTATTGAACTGAAGCTATAACCTCATACAAAGAGCATATATGTGCTTAATACTTTTTTCATTGTATATCAAGCTATCCAGATTTACATGCTTCCATACTCATCAATTTAAATATAATAAAATCAAGATACACATACATATTTACCGTCATGTGTGATCATTTGATATTTTATAAAAAGCACTTGTATTTCAATGCATCATTTGCTACTTTCCTTTTAAGAAAAATATAAATTCTCATGTTAAGTCAATCTCGTGGTTGAGTATGTTATATGCATAAAAATCCCCAATTACAAACGTATGATTATCAGACACACGATAATTCAAATACACTGCAGCTTTATATTAAATCAATTTTAAAATTCTAACGTCTATTAATTATTTTTCTTTTTATCACTTTATAGGACCAGTGCTTAGAATAGTTTATTGGTCCTCAATGCATTTATATTGGTCCAACCAAGTAAACAGATAACACTGCCAGCTCTTGCAGGACATGAAGTATCTATCCCACAAAATCATGTTATTCTGATGATTATTTCCATCCACCCCTTCAATTGTGACATTTTTAACAAAAGCATTCTCTCCCTCAGGTGCTTGGCTGGCTGATTCTCGTTCACATACTCAGAGTCTAACTAAGGAGATGTGAAGAAATTTCACCCCGTGTCAGATTGGCAGTGACCTTATGGGTTTTTCACCTTTGCAGGATATGGGTGTGGCACTTGCCAGGATTATCTGGATATATCTCACTTGATCATTTCCCTGACATTGCAGAGGCCTTGAGCACTGTTGCATCTTGGTCCCTCCTCTTCTCAGCCTGTAGCACATAACACTCTGGTCTCCTGTGGGATGTATTACTTTGATCTTATTTTGACTGTGGTGTTTAGTCTGTGGGTCATGGCCTGGGATATACAGAAGGCCAGACTAGATCATCTGGTAGTCCCTTCTGGCCTTAAACTCCATGAAAGAGACTCTCAAAGATGTCGAAGTACCTCTTCCATTCATTCGTTTTTGTAAAGATCTCCACTCAACACATACACCACATCCAACACATACCCTTCCCATCCATGATCACGGACTGTCTCTGTGGCTACTAAAACAACTGTTTAGATGAAAAAGCAATTATAGAAATGTATTGGGTATTTTAAATTTACTTTTAATGAATTTTGCTGCTCAAAACAAGGACAGTCTATTTCCATGGACCATTAATGGTCTGCAAATATGGTTCAGGAACCACTATTTTCTACCATTTGAAAGCCTGGAATCCAAGGCTCCTGTTTCTGGTTCCTCAATCTATAACAGGGGTTCTCAAACGTTATTGCACCACGACCCACTTCTGACAACAAAAATTATTACAGGTTTCAGAGTAGCAGCCGTGTTAGTCTGTATCCGCAAAAAGAAAAGGAGGACTTGTGGCACCTTAGAGACTAAAATTTATTTGAGCATAAGCTTTCGTGAGCTACAGCTCACTTCCCTGGATGCATTACATGACAGCAGGAGGGGGGACAGAAGCCTGAGCCTACCCAAGCCCTGCTGCCCTGGGGGGAGGAGGAGTCAAAGCCCGAGCCCCACCACTTCAGGCAGGGGGGCCAAAGCTGAAGCCCAAAGACATCAGCCCCAGGCAGGGGGGCTTTAACCTGAGCCCTGAAGCCCTCAGGCTTCAGCTCTGTGCCCCAGCAAGTCTAAGCCAGCCCTGGCAACTCCATTAAAATGGGGTCACGACCAACTTTAGGGTCCCAACCCAGTTTGAGAACTGCTGATCTAGAAGTTCACTTTTGCCATACAGCAATTACAGGCCTGGGTAGTTTTCAATTGTTTTTATACATCTCAACAAAAAGGATGCAAAAATTAATCCACTGTATTAGCAGCACAATATTTTGATAATATTTTCTATAGGCAGGTCAAATTGAAACATCTGAATCCTGAATAATGTAGTCAGTTATTTTATTATTAATTTTACTTACTGTAAGACAACAACAATGGTCTTATTTTAAATGTAATTGTGGCAAAACCAGTCTCTAGGTCAAACTGTATTTTAGATATAATTTTAGTAAATCTAAATATCAACATCTTTCCCTAAAGAATACTTACAGCACAGAACTCTTCAAAGGATATTCTTCCATCACCATCCTTATCTGCATTAATTATGGTTTTGTCTACAATTTGCTGTAACTGAGTGTCTTTGAGATTGTTCCCAACCATCATCTTCAGCACTTGGAAGAGCTCCCCATTGGAGATATAGCCATCTTTGTCCATATCATAAATCCGGAAAGCAACTGCAGAAAATGAGTTAAAGGAAAATTCAATAGTAAATATGACCTGCCAACAAAAATTTTAACTAGACTGAACACTTCTCAGAGGGCAGATACATAACTATGTATTTTATATGCACAACTGAGAAAAAAGGTTTTGCATTGTTTTCTGTAGTCACATTGATTTTTAAGTCATGAATTTATAAATCCTGGGAGACAAGGATTCTACTATATCAGACACAGGACAGTCAACAATTCTACTATAATTTATTTAACCCTTTAGTATGAGAGATTTTTAACAAAATTAGGTTGGTTTAACTACGTTGGTCAGGGGTGTGAAAAAGTCACTCTTCTGACCAGTGTGGCTAAGCCAACCTAAGTCCCTGTGTAGACAATGCTAGGTCACCAGAAGAATTCTCCTGTCGACCTAGCTACCGCCTCTCAGGGGAGTGGATTACCTAAGCCGATGGGAGCATCCCTCCTGTCAGAATAGGTAGTGTCTACACTGAAGTGCAATGTTTGAAATGCAGACAAGCCCTGAGTGTAAAAGTATTCCATTAACACTGACAACATTAAGTAAACAACAAAAAATTCAGCAAACAAGAAGTGCATCATAAGCTGGGCCACTCACATTAGAGACAAAACTATGGCCTTCTGTGGCATGGCTAATCAACACCCCAACTGGTCAGTTTACAGCAAGCCATTTGAAAATGGTCTAAATCTGGGATGGGGGAAATGTTGTTTTTTTAATATTTCGTGGTAACAACTTTCCTTTCTACATTCATATTATATCTCAGTTATTGCAATAAGGATTGAAAGAAAAAGCAAAGGGTTGACCACATTATGCTTCTGAAAGATACATTGTCAAAATTTTGCAGGAACAGTTTAGTATTTCTTTGTTTTATTGTATAAGCAAAAATCAAATGATTTCCATACTGTCAAAAGCAAAATGATGTGCCTTACTCATAATTCCTTTAATCTAAAAAGGATGTGGACTTAGTTTTGCTCATTCAGTAGGGAATGGAACAATGCTACAGAAGCAGCATGGTCAGGCCTTTTTGTGAAGGTGCCAGTGACCTCAACAGGTACGGAGTCCCAACTCCTTCAAGATAGTCTCCACCTGTCCTGCCTGATGTAGACTTCTGTCAGAGAACATGCACCCCAGGAGGAAAAAGTGATTCCCAATGTTTTGTTAAAAGCAAACTACATCTGAAAAATATCAGAAAAGCTGTCATAAAAATCGAAGTACTTACACCTCAACTTCTGTTCCTTATCCCCTTTGACACTGAACTGGGAGACTCCTTCTATAAATTCTGAAGAATATAGGGCAGGAAAAGCATTTACAAATCAGTAGTGTAAATATATTTTCAAAGCCCTGTTTATTGCAAACAGAAACCAGAATATTCAGAAATTAAAAAAAAAAGAAGAAGAAGAATTTTTTTTAAAAGTCTGTATTATTGGGACTGTCCTTAGAACACAGCTTACCTCAAGAAGAAATAGTGTCTCCACATCCTTATGAAGGCATTTCTAGCTCCTTTCAGCAGGAAGCATCTCAAACCAAACACCATGCCCAATGTACTAATACATATCAAAATTTACTTAAAATAATCAAAAGCTTGGACTTTCTAGGAAATACAATTTATATAAATAAGGACTTGAAACACCAACTGTATTGACTTCAACTGGAGTTGTGTTGTGTTCAGTTCATCTCAAATCAAGACCTAAATTTCATATTGGATTACATTAACGTGACCATATTTTTAATGAAACAGACACATAAATAGTATTTTTAAAAGGGTGTTATAAATAAATGTGAATATTAACAAAATGAAACTCTTAAACTATAAAACTCCAAAACCATGTAATTCCCAGAGCCAGATCTTGCAGCCTTTACTCACATGTGTAACAGCAAAGAATCAAAAGAACTACTGATACAAGGTACATAGGATCAGACTCCAGAGCAGGACTTTCTGAAGTCCTGGAAGGTACGATGCTGACCTAATAAGAATTTCGTAGTATAAAATACAGTAAAGAAAAAAGTACAAAGGCTACCATTAGACTGGAAATACTAAATACCATTTGTTGCCAAAAATCCCAAACAGTTTTCATTTTAACAATAAAATCAAACTGGTTTAATAAAATATTTTTATAAACGTATAGGTAGAATGAAGAGAAGATCTAATACAGCTGTACTAATGTGATTTAGGTGACATTTTTCTTGTGTTTGTGAAAGATGTTAGATGGAGATCAGAAAATGAGTTTCTCTAGAAAAAAATATAGGTAGAACACAGGAGAAACAATGCAGGTTTCCCCACACTTCCCTGCAGTGTCTACACAGGGTGCCAGCAGTGATTTTTTTTTTTTTTTGAGGGGGCCACCTGTTCAGCAAAAACTGGATTGAGACTACCATTCATTTATGTAAGTCACCAAACATGGCCAGATGGCAACAGCAGATTCACTGCCACAAAACACATTATGACTGCATCATTTTATGATACAAAAACAGACTAGTGCTAAATCGTCCGTTACAGCTTTTCGTAATCACATTATTTGAGTTCATAATCTCATGAACAATATAGTACACTCGCTCCCCCACCCACGATGTCATTTTAACAAGGGTATTTTGACAATTATTACGTGCATTGTTTATATCGTTTTAGAGGATGACATTGCTGAGGAAAATATAACATTCCAATTTAGTTGGGTTTTGTTTTTTGCTGTTGTGCTAGAACAGCTTGAATGTACTTCATGTTTATAGTTTTCTTCAAATTTTATTGATCAAAGTATCTATATAATTGAAAATTTGGTAAATTCTAATCAGATAGACTAAAAAGTCTGTTTCTAATTTTTTTCCTAATCCTGAAAAAAATCCTACATTAATTTCAATGGGAGTTAAAGAAAACTTGCCACTCTGAGGATCTGATCCTAAATTAAAGAAATATTAAATTTGATAATTTGGCAGTGGAAAAACTCAGCCTCTGACCCTCTAAATGAGCAACATTTTAAATAATGTAGCTTTCCAATACTTACTTTAAAAGCAAAATAAGTTTCAACTGAACTCTAGTCATATCAGCTTTCTCTCTTTTTTGTTTGAAAAAGTGGCAAACTATAACTACGGGTAAAAAAAGACCATTAAATAGAAAAACCAGTACTTCTATAACTTTTGTAATTTACAGAGAAACAATTTTCAATCTAAACTGTCATAGAAAAATATCACATACAGAATATTTTAGTCACAGAAGAGCATTTTGTATGAAACACAAAAGTGTTGCAAATTATCCTGGAAAGATTCCCACACCACTCTAGGCAACCTGGTCTAATCCTGATGTAATGTACACACAAGATATGAGTCTGTCACGGATTCTATTATTTTATGGAACTTTCATGACTTCTTCTGGGACAGGACCGAAGCAGCTGACCAAAGCAGCATCCAGCCCCAGAGCAGGGGCCCCTGGAACAGCTTGCCAGTGGTCCCAGGCCTGCCGGAGTGATGGTCCTGATCCCAGTCCCGATCAGTCCCCTGGGGCAAGGCTGGAGCAGCTGCAAGCCCCAACAGAGCTTTTTTTGCCCCTCCACAGGATATTTTTGGTAAAAGTCAGGGACAAGTCCTGGGCTTCCATGATTTTTTTTTTTTATTGCCCACAACCTGTCCCTGACTTACTAAAAATACCCGTGACAGAATCTTAATCTTAGTAATTGTGTAATACCTTAATCCTTAGGAAATATTCCAAGAAAAAAATCGTGATAAGAGGCTATAAAAATTGGAACTTATTTCTCATAAAAAATGAACTATTTAGATCCAAATATTTATAGAATCATAGAAATGAACGTAGGGCTGGAAAGGACCATGAGAAGTCATCTAGTCCAGCCACCTGCACTGAGGCAGCACCTCAATCATGCATAATAGGCGTTTATCCAACGTGTTCTTAAAAACCTCCAGTGATGGGGATTCCACAACTTCCCTTAGAAGCCTATTCCAGAACTTAACTACCCTTACAGTTAGAAAGATTTTTCTAATAGCTAACCTAAATCTCTCTTGCTGCAGATTTTAGCCCACTCAGTCTTCTTTTCTCAAGACTCAATGTCCGCAGTTTTCTAACCTTTCCTTATAGGTCAGGTTTCCTAAGCCTTCCTTCATTTTTGATGCTTTCCTCTGGACTTTCTCCAATTTGCCCACATTATTTCTAAAGTGTGGAGCCCAGAACTGGACACAGTACTCCAGCTGAGGCCTCACCAGTGCTGAGTAGACCGAGACAATTACCTGCCAGGTCTTACATACAACACTCCTGTTAATGCACCCTGGAATGCTATTAGCCTGTTTTGCAACAGCATCACTTTGACGACTATCATTCAATTTGTGATGCACTAAAATGCCCAGATCCTTTTCAGCAGTAATACCACCTACCCAGTTATTTCCCATTTTGTACGTGTGCATTTGATTTTTGCTTCCTAAGTGAAGTACTTTGCATTTGATCTTTATTGAATTTTATCTCGTTGAATTCAGACCAATTCTCCAACTTGTCAAGGTCTTTTTGAATTCCAATCCAGTCCTCCAAAAGTACTTGCAACCTCTCCTGGGTTGGTGTAATCTGAAAGGCTTATAAGCATACTCTCCACTCCATTATCCAAGTTATTAATAAAAATATTGAATAGTTCCAAATCCAGGACTGACCCCCTTCAGAAATCCCACTCGATACTCCCTCCTAGTTTGACAGCAAACCATTGATAACTACTTGTTGAGTATGTTTTTTCAAACCAGCTGTGCAACCACCTTATAGTAATTTCATCAAGACTATTTCCCTCATTTGCTTATGAGAATGTCATGCTAGACTGTCAAAATCCTTACTAAAATCAGATATATCACGTTTACTGTTTGTCCCACTCCACTCATACAGTAACACTGACAAAGAAGGAAATTAGATTTGGCATGATTTGTTCTTGCCAATCCACGTTGGCTGTTCCTCTTCACCTATTATCCTCATGGTGCTTACAAACTGATTGTCTAACAATCTGTTCCAGTATTCCAAGTATTTAAGTTAGCTTAGCTGGTTTATAATTGCTCGGGTCCTCTTTGTTTGCCCTTCTCCAGTCCTCTGGGACCTTACCCATCTTCCATGACTCTTGCTAATGGTTCTGAGATTGCTACAGCTAGTTCCATGTCTCTCTTAAAAGTTTAGTTAAGTAAAACAGAACCCACACATTTGCAACTCTCTCCCCACCCATCGTGTCTTTTTCATGTTAATGAGGAAAATAGTTTTTAGAATGCCTAGATTTAGATCGTTTCACGAACATACTCTAAAATGGACATCAAGCATGAAAGTGAAGTTAAGAATATGAACAGTAAGAAAGATTATTAAACAAAACAGTTAAACCAACAGAAACTGTTATATTGGGTTATGCATTAGGGAATAAATACATTTAAGTCTATTTTATATACATGTTCACAGAAATTGTTAGTATCTATTTCTAATATATAAAAGTATCTTTATAAGCATGTTTCACCCTTAAGTGGATTTCACACTATTTTGTTCTTGTAAAAAAAAAAAAGAATAAATTTTGTGTCAGAGCTGAAATCAACAGTTTCCAGAAGTTAGATCTTCTAAGAAAATGCCAACATCATGAATGATAGAGCACTGTATCTTACCTTTGAAGTCCACTTCTCCATTCCCATCTGTGTCAAATATATCTATTACTCGCTGTACTAACGGGTTCTGTTGTAACTCAGGCAAAGACATGAACTCCTCCACGCTCAAAGAACCAGAGTTGTCTAAATCAAGCTTCTTAAATCTCTTTCCTAGCCGTTTAATCTCATCTGCGTCAACTAAAGGGGAAAAAAAAACCTGCTTTCAGAAAGATTTCATGACACAAATTTGCTACTTAATTATAATGTTTGCTCTGATGTATTTAATTCAATGTTTCTCTTCCGGTATCACAATTGTGCCACATTTCTGCAAAACTTGTATACTACAGCCATGATCGCAGACACTTTTTATATTGAAAAGCTTTTATGGGAAGCCAGGTTTTCTATCAAAAGCCACTTACCAATTTTTTCCCCTGCACCAGCCATAGCACACAACCTTGTGACTCACTATAACTACTGTATGCTGACTCAAGATTTTAAAGGATTGATCATGTTAAGCTAATTCTTATTTATGGTCACATGGTATGTTCTGGCACCAATGACTGCAGTTGGCTGTGTAGCTTCCTAGCACTGAAACCCCCAGCCTGGGCCTGCCTGATGCACTCCCAGTCAGAATCTGGCACCAAGGAACCTTCGAGGGGGGGGTTTCAGCAGGATGTTCACTGGTTCATCTAAAAGCACAGTCCTTTCTGTCATTTATAGTTAAACCTTAAACAGCTTAAACAGCTGAAAAAATCATGGATGATTTTTAATAAGTAGTAGTAAACTATTAGACTTACCATTAAACTAAGCATTAATGGTAATATTTAAAGAAAGGCAATTATGCTTTTTTTAGTTTATGTAAAACAGAAAGTAGTAATGCTACTTGGTTATGCCAAAAAACCATACTCGTCGTATTTTACTACACCATACTGGAAACCTGTTTGGTGGTTTCACCACAGAAAGTTAAAAAGACTGATGGCCACAGCAAGGCCACTGCAATTTTGCCACCTAAAAATCTTGCAACAGACTTTTAAGAGACTCAGGGTAAAATTTCTTTATCAACCTCAAAACCAGAACCTCTCCCATCCACCCACCCAGCAGCCTGTCAGTGGAAGAACAGAGTAACCTACATAGGTACAGAGCCCACTTTATCACAATTATGATCAAATTTAAAACAAAGTTATTAGAGACAGACAGACTTTGGTAACAACTCTTCAGATACTATGGTGATTGTCACAGAAATAGCTTTAATAAAATAAAAACAACAGACCTTTTGTACAAATATGTCCTTTCATTAAATTAGCTATACCCAAAATGTAAAAAAACCTCACTTTATGCAATATTTGACATTTGATGCTAGCTGAGATTTTTCAACAATATATTTTGCATAAATATTCTTCACAAGAGTTGTCAATCTGATCTTTTTTTTTAAAAAAAAATACCATCATGTTGTTATAACAGGAACAGTTATCTGTGCTTCCTTTAAAAAGTTAGTTTATTGGAAATACCACCAAGTGCTCTGCTCGTTGTGCAGGCGGAAAATTACTGTGATCAAACGTACCCCTGTATTCAGACCCTGAACACTATTTTAATAATCTTTGTACAACATATGCCTTGTGAAGTATCATTTGAAAGCTAATAACTCACTGGTCAATAATATCATGATCAAATGTGCGTAACAACCTTATGTGTAAAGTTATGAATTCCTCCTGAATGATGTTGGTAGCATATATTCAAACCCAGGTAGCCCCTATTAGGCAGGACTCGTCAAGCAGGTCTTAAAGGAATGTGTGTTTATATCAATTGACATAAGTAGTAAACAAGGTCCTTGAGAAAGCAAGAGAGAGACAAGACAAATCTGTATTTTAGCAAAGCACAGCATGAAACGTCTCTCACAATGACTGTCTCTGTGCTCACAGTGGGAATGAAATTTATCACAGGGTAACCTTCAGAAAAATGTAATTTCAAAGGGTGACTGCTACAAAAGTGAGGGGCAAAAACACAAGTGCTCTCTCCCTAGCCATCTCTCTTTCATCTAAGACAACAAAAGAAACAGCCTATGAACTTTGGGAGCAGACCCTGAACTGAAATTTGGTCACCCCTGTTGCTGGAAGCATATGGTAACAATTGCACCTTGAAACAAGTTTGTTAAGTTTAGAAAGCGTTATCTTTATTTTTCTTTTAACCATTTCTGCCTGTAATGCCTTATACTTGTACTCACTTAAACTCTCTTTGTAGTTAAATAAACTTGTTTTATTCTTTAATTAAAACTAATCCACTGTTGTCTTTAAACTGAACTGTGTTGGTAACTCCATTTATGGTATCAAACTGTTGTATACAGATCCCCTTCAAGGGGCAATAGATCTAATATATCTGGACAGGGCTGGACAGTGCAGAACACACTTTGGAGGGAGGGGGAGAAAAATCAAGGACTGAGAGTGTGTTGGGGTCACCCTTCAAGTAGTAACCAAGGCTGCTGGAAGCCAGTGGGTGGCTGGTGTTTACTAACTGGCTACTGTGGCCGAGTTGCTGGACCAGGGCTGTGGCTATACACAGACACTCAGGGTGAAACCCGTATGCTGCTTGTGAGGAGCCCATGTTGCGAGCTACAGCAGCAAAGCATTGTGAGGCTCCCCAGGTGGAAAAGCAGGGGTGACAGAGACATTTACTGGTCTGGATTGCACCCTAGATTGCACATGTCTCTTAGGCCATGTCTGTACGTACAGCGCAGCAGCAGCACATATGTACAGCAGCACAGGTGTACCGATGCAGCTGCGCTACTGCAGTGCATCGGGTGAACGCTCTAAGCCAATGGGAGAGAGCTCTCCTGCCAACACAGCACTGTGCACACAAGTGCTTATGTCGGTGTAATGTATGTTGCTCCGAGGGGTAGTTTTTTTAACACCCCTGTGCAACATAAGTTATGCCAACATAGACTATAGCGTAGACATAGCCTATAGAATTTCATTAAAATGTGCAGGTTATCCTACATATTTCCTCGTATCACGGCTGTGCTCAGCAAACGTACAATAGCAGGAGATGGCATTCTCCTTGCTTTCTGTACCTCAGATTTGCTCCAACTGACTCATTCGGTGATCATAGATTTTGATACCTTCTTGCCTTTAAAAACAGTAACTTAAAACAAAGAGCACTTTAGACTCATGGAACAGACTTAAATTTATTTAGAACATCCAATATTGTAAGTGCCTTTTTGACAGCCATTGCATGGCATTCCCTTTCCTTACTGGGAAAAGCTTTAGGACTGAATGATGACAACATGATCTCTTGAGACTGACAGAAAACTGGGGATGACTTTGGGAATAAAAGATTGATTTGTGATCAATGTTGCTTTGTTGTAGAAAATGTAGAACTGTGGCTTGCAGAGCAAGTATCCAATTCTGCTCTGTCTGTCCAAAGTCATCATTTTTAAAAATAGTACCTTGATGGAGAAAAAGATTGATCTTTCTTCAGTAATTCATCAAAATACGGCAAGTAAAACTGACCAGAAGCAGACTGAAATCTCGGTGGAGGTGCATTATGCAACAAAGCTGGATGCAGTAGTGATGCTGTCCTCAATACTTTTTGCATCTGAATGCCTTGAAATCTTATTCTTCTAAGCTGATCATAGGAGAGTGGTATGCCTGATATTTTCCTCTTAAAATGATCAGTTTTATATCAGTGGTGGTACCTCAAAGCTGGTATCTGCTCTATTTGGTAGGGGCTGTGTGTGTCTATTGTCATGTTGCCCAGTCTCAAGGACAACTGCTTTCTCAACCAGTAGGGAGCCAGCCCCTAGGGACATCCACATATTTTCCCTTCTTTGGACATAAGTGGAAATGGAGAGAAAAGGGTCTTTGGCTGCTTCTGTGATAGTGCATCTGTCACTAGCATACCCTGTTCTTGTCTCTTGGCAAAGAGCTCAGGGATCTCACAGTTTTATCATAATGCAAAGACCGCCACTGTCAGATTTGTTCAGACTATCATGGAGAATACTTCCATATTCAGGTTTCATTCTGCCAAAATGATCTATCTACCCTACTGAGCTCTCTTCTTTTATGCAGAATTTTGAGATGTATGATTTCTTTTTCCCCCAAGTCAGGCACACTACAGCTTCCTTCTGAATCCACACAGATATGGTTTCTCCCTGTCTGCAGAATAGGCAAAACTTCCAATCTACCAGCCTGTCTGCCCTGTCAGCATAACCCACAATAAAAATGGCTCTTTGTCCCATCTAGAGACTGGACCATGTAAAGGACTTGTGAGTCTGCTAATTTCTGGTTTCCGGTAGCACAAGCTCTTGCTTTTAGATCGAGGTCTTGGGTTTAATCCATAAAGACAATCCAAGCAGCAGTGTCATTAAAAGTGGTGGCCTGTACGGGGATTTGAACTGCTGAGCAAGTATGAAACTCAGGACATGCTTCCCTGGCCAGAAGGAGTTTGTACCATACACTAACAAAGTGTAGCACTCTGTCCCCATTGGCTGGACCAGTTGTAGAGGTTTGAGTCTACTACTACGTCCAAGCCAAGAGATATAGTCCTTTTGCTCAGGCAGTAAAGGCCCATACTCTCAGAGCCAGAGATCCGTTTAAATCTTCACAGACAACCTAGCCAGGTGCGTCACTACGTCAGCAGCACTATGAGTCCTGGAAGAGAAAAGTAGTAGCTGGGGTAGACACAGCTGCAGTACCTCTGAACCAAGGTGGGGGAAAAGATCAAGATCCAGAGAGGCAACCTGGTGTCCCTACCAACTTGGCCAGATCAGAATTTTACCGAAGATTTTTTTCTTTGTTTAACAGTTTATCGTAAAGTTCTGCAGCAGTAAGTCTGGATAACTGCTTGCAACTATGGAGACAGGAAAAAAAAAAAAGGCAGGATCTTCAAGAATAGAATTTTTCCCCTGCTGTCAGTTACTGACAGTTCTGATTGTGCCTCCAGGGCTGCCAAGGCATGCTGAACACCCAAGCATGCTAAATACCCACTGTAGCATCTATGTACTTGTCTATGCTGAATATTGCTTCCTCAGCTGCCTGCACATGGAGCTGGAAAGAGATACAAGGTAAATAAAGCAGCTCTGAGCACCAGTTCATTTAATTATGCTTTGGATTGTTAACATGCTGCATTCCCCCTTGCCCATGATCTTCTGCTTAGAATGAACACTATCTAGGGTGTGTGCCTGCACAATATAGCATCTCACAGTA